TTTAACACTTGCTTTCCTCTTCAAAAGAGAAAATGAAATATTTCATGGAAAAGCTATTATTGGAAAACACAAGGGATTAGGACATCATGTAAAAACAAACAAATCCTTTCTTTCATTTCTAAGCATCATAACGTATCTCAAGGTTTCCTCCTCGACTTAAAAAAATACATATCATTGTTAAGAAAAGTCATACGGCAGGCTAAAATTGTGAAACATGACAGGAATATTTTGAACTCAAATAATAGAACAAAAGCAATGTGGAATATAGTAAAAAATTCGACCAAATCAACTAGAAACCTTATAGAGAATGTTGTTTTTAAAAGATAACGATAGAAATGTAAACGATCCGGCAACAGTGGCTAGTCTCATTAACCACTGATTTTCGAGAATTGCTGCCGATCTCACTAGGAGTCTTCAACCACAAAATTTAGCATCATAAGTTTCCCAAACAATTTTAGACCCGATGTTCGTTAGACCGAAACTTATTCCCATGGAAGTCTCAAAATAATCAGTAGCCTAAAAAATAAATATTCGGCCGGTTTTCATGTGTTTCCGAATTGTTTGTTAAAGGCTTGCGCGCCCGCTATTAATCACCAGCTAACTCCCGTGTATCTTAAGTGTGTGAATCTTTTCTTTTTGTAATACATGTATGTGATACCTTGTCCCTTCCTGCATCCCACGAAGACAGAAAGACAGTGTACAGCAGGGCCAGTTTAACCACCTGTAGGGCCTGTAGCACTTTTATCATGTGGGACCCCTTTTATTAATTTTCCTCATTTTTTCGAGACGTACTTAAGCGCATGGAGTGTAAAATAACTTTAACCCATTTCTGATTATAAAATCGCAAATATTGTATCTCTATGTTTCACCAACAATTACTGCATCTAAGCGTTCACCGTTCTGCTTTCGAGCGAACAAGACAATCTAGTTATTTTTAAGTGAAACACTTTCTCCATGACGATTGAACATTAGATTACTATATTTCCAATCATCGAAGCCCTTAGTAGATGGAGAAATATCGGAACCAATAATGTTGCAAGTAAAGCAAAACAAAGTATCTTAACTCGGCGAGTAGCAGAGCTATTTTCTTTCCTGCTTTGTTTTCGTCGATTTATGAACTTTTGAAAAATAATATTTTTGGAAAAATCTATTTTTTTTCATTTTTACAGTATCCTTTTGCAAAAGTGAAATCTTTATTTTGATATTCTTCATTTCCTTTAACGATTCAATATTCTCGTGTTTTTCTGTTACCTTGGATGCGCATTATCCTAAATCGATAGAGAAGATGCTATAATCGCGATTTGCATAAACATCTTTTTGTTTTTCAACTTGAGAATTTTCGTCTTCATTGTGAAGAGTTCTGTTAAGAGCGTAGGTTTCCGCGGCCGGAGTCAAGTAGCTACAAACCGGGTGACGTCGCGTCCTTGGCACAGGTGCCGCCGCCATTCTGCGACCTTCCTCAGGGCAAAGATGCTGTTATTTTCAGACAAAAGTAAATTTGAAGTCGACGATTCTGAAGTTTCATTTGAAACATGAGAAGACTTACTCGGATGTTTGCAGATAAACGTAGTCAATTTTGGAATTTTAGATATTGCCTCTTGTTCTTTTATTAATTTCTCCTTCATTTTTCTTTTAATAGAACTGGGAGGATAACGTCGCCAGATATCTCTCTCACGACTTGCTATAGCAGAAATAGCAACTATCTATAGCAGAAAAAAATCCATATACATTTCCATTCATATATAAAAACATTTTCAATTATCACAGAAGTACGGAAAACTGTATATCTGCTCCAAAAATTCAATTTTTCTGGTCAAAAAATTTCATAAAATACAATTATTTAATTATTTAATATAAAAGTGAAAAAGATGAAATTAGTTATTATTACTCGGGCAACTTTTCTTGAACGATGGATTGACGATTTCGGGTGGAGTGGGGATATTAGTTACAAAGTCGGTCACTAGATTATTTCAAGTAATGCCAACGTCTGTGAAATGAAAGTCAAAACTGCATCTTGTGCTTAACTTTTTCTGAAGTTTTAGGTGACCCCCTTGAAGGACCTGGACCTGACTCAGCCATTTCTTTCGATATTGACAATAAATCTGAACAGGGGTTCTGCACTATGAAAGCAACTGGCTTTGACTAGCTTCTGTTTCGCGCCAACGAAGTTTTAATGCTTGGAAGGTTGTCATCAGTGCCCGCTGCGAGCTTTTGCCTTCAAATGTTTTTGCACAAGGGAGGGGGATCAAGGTCATCGTTCAAGAAATGTTGCGCGAGTAATATCAACAACTTACAATTTCAAGCTGTATCTGATATTCTAAACAAAACACTGCATGTAGTAGATGCCTATTGTGCTGGTTAAGATGAAAAACTTTCTACCTTGTCATGTTGACACGTTATATTAGAGAAACTGTCGTCCTAAACATTTAACATATTCAAATGCACGTGAGAAAGAAGGAAAAGTATCTAAAACATAAACGTACATAAATACACGATTCGATTTAACATTTCAGCGCCCAAAGCGTAATACCACCTGTATTTCAATCGCACGAAATGGTCGCGTTCGGCTGTTAAAGAGTTACCCGAAAAGTGAAAAACGCGATCTTCCACAGAAGTCGCCTATCAGGGGCGTTTGTCATCAATATGCATAATATGTAAATATAAATATGAAAATAATATTAAAACTTTTTGTCTGCAGACAAACCCAAAGGCGTATCTAGGTATTCAGGCGCTGCCCATGGCATCCATAGAATTTGGGCCTCTGTCAGGATACTTCAAATTAGGATTGTTATTTGTTTTAGCGGGTGTATTCTAAATAGCATCCTTTGTGAGTGGCGCCCATGGCAATAGTCGTCTGCCATACCATAGATACGCCTCTGGGCAAACAATATTTTACAAATCTGAATGAAGATTAATGTGAATGAGACATAAGATGCAAATAGGTAGTATGTAATGATACAAAATGGGAATTTTATGATTTACTACATTGATTGTATAGCCCAGGCAATGCAATAGTAGCGCCTCTCGTGGCATGCACTATAAACTTGAGACCAGATGCGCACGTAAATTTAAGAGTCAAAAGCAATTTTAATATAAAAACATTGAATTCTGATACTCATTCGCCCGTGATTTAATTTATGTGCAGAAATTTAATCAGCAGAGTTAACAGCTGATCCAACATTTTGTCTTTATATTAGAATAACTTAATAAATCACATATTGATATGTGATTGTATAAAGAGAGAGAAAAATGCCATATCATACTTGAAATCGTGCAGATAAGCTTCATTACTCGACGAAATATTTACGTAATAAATACGAACGTAAAATAATCAGCTGATTGTAATTTATGCAGTAACAATACATCGAAACAAACCAATAAATCTCAAATAGTTCCATTTTAAAGCTAAAACAATGTTGTTAGTAAGCGTTTAAAAATAGACTTTAAGATCATTGTATATATCAGTATATATACTTTTGTTTCAACCCTTTTAACTGTAGGTTCACAAAACGCCTAATGGCAAAATATTTTTTTTTCTCCGCTGGTGACATTTGTAAATTTGTGTCTTTGTTGTGATTTTTAAAATCCCATTGCATGTGCTACTGGGAGAAACCGGGACTGGTATAAAATTGAATTAATAATCCTCGACAGTTATTAAGATAGAGGGAGTGAGAGTTTATTATAGTATGGACTATGTTTTACTTTTGTGTGGAAAATCAATTTCAAGATTTCAACTCAGGAATGCCTTATGGGATTTCCTGATACTGACAGTGTGGATTTTTTTGAGCATCCATCAGACTCTGCTTGACCGCTCTTCTGTCTGTGAACAACACACTAGTGCCTAAACTATTTGTAGGTTTTCTCCAAACTGAATATTCCCTTGTCGATCTGACCTGACTCAAAGCTCTACTATTTTGAAAAACATTCTTGAAATTTTGGGAGTACTTTACATGAAACCCCTGAGACATTTTCATAATTTTCTCGAAAATGGTTCCAAATGTTTGTAAAAAATATAGAGGCGGCACAATAGAACGAAATACACTTATGAAGATGGTAGGTATGATTTTTATTGTTAAGTCTGTACTCTCAAAAACTACAAAAGTTTGAATTTTTATGGAGTCTTCCTACAACTTCCATAATGAAGATCGAGATTACTTGTACCAAAGAAATTTATTTTCCACATACAGTTCTTTAATTGTCATGCAGATCTTTTTGAAATTTTTTTCTTTACACTTTGTGTAAGCATAGTTCTAATTGCATATTATCTGTTTACATACATGCCATTTTGCTGTGTTCTCCCTCCCCCAAATTATACAATTGTAATTTTTTTGATATCTTTGTCATGTTAATATTTACGTTACTGGCGATTTGTATACATTATTGCATTTGCGAGTAAAAGTCCTTCAAAATACAGGTTGTAAAGTTTCTGGGAAATTCATACAATTTCTGAAAAATGAGATCAAAATTCCCTTTTTTAGAAACACTTAAATGCCATTTTCTTGAAAATGGCTCCAAATATTTTCTTTAACTGTTTTGTACAGATGTACTAAATAAAATGACAATAATACTTAGATTTATTTAAAAAAAGGTATTTTTGTTTAATCTCTCACATAATTCACCAAATAGATAGCCCAAACTGAAGAGAGAAGGATACTAACCAGTATGAAAAAGTCCATGCCATTCATTAGCACCACTAGTTGAAGCTTGAAACAAGAACACAATGAGTAACTTGTCTGTCCCAGAGGTTTTTCTTAGGAATTTGCTGAAAATGTTCAGTAGCATCATTTAAGTACTGTCATCTATCCACTTTCATGTTTCCAGAGTGTATTGTGAACTACACACTTCTTTTCCTTCAATACCTCCTAATGTGATCACCAGTTATTCAAGTCAATATTAGGGATTGCAAATGGCACATTGAAAAGTAAAATGGAATTTAAAAAAAATGTATAAATCCCTTTTTTCATTGTTTTTAAAGGAGAGGAGAGAAATGGGCAATGCACTCATTGTGAAATGGGCACTTTAATTAAGGCTTTTTACATTACATAAAGGAATTCAACAGAAATTTGTAAGAAAATGCCATAATGAAACAGCAAAATAGAAAGCACAAACCTGTATATGCTATGAACAAATATATCAAAATCATAGAAAAATCAGTACAGATATACTCTGAACTACTCAAAGTTCGATGATATAACTATCACCATAACAACTGCAGGGACATGCAACTTTTTTGTCAGATCTTGGTTTTCATACAGTCAGTAAGGTGTAGACAAACATAACATTTAAAAAAAATATACTAGAGACAGTTTTGCTCGTAAGCTAACAATACCAACAATCAAAAGTACATATCTACATATCTAAAACGTGGAATATATTTTTTTGCCATAGTATTGTAATAATTAGAACTTTTTTTCACGAACAAATCTGTGCATAAACAATTACTTTAAAATAGAAGCTCTGAGACATTCTACAGAAATATCAACATTTAAATGAATATCTTTTTATTAAAAAAATGTAATTCCACTGTGACAGAAACTTTGCATTGTAGCTCCCTACTGCTGTTCAACATTGGTGATATTTCTTCCAGTCTCTATTTAAAAAATAAATTTGGATTTCAACTAAAATGTTTACCAACAAAGTTTCTATTTATGCCATGAATATTGAAAATTCAAAGCATCACAAAAAATGCAGAAAATTTATGGAATGCAGGCAATTAAAAGCTTTTTGTATTTTAATCAATTTATATTCACACAATCATGGTCCACATATTTATTTGCAATTACTATATCTATAGAGGTACGCATAATCTTTTCTAGAAGTTCAAAGCAGCACCTTCACCTTATCTGAAAAGATAACTGGCCATTAAAAGGCATATTCTTTTCAGATTCTCTTTCTATTTGAGATGGAGGAGGATACTTTCCATAAAAGATCAGCCTCTCACCTCTCAAATAAGGTAATGTACACGAATAGGATGTGTTTGAACATTGTCAGAAAGTAAATCCTGCCTATGCAATGACTAAAGAGAAAAGTAGATTATTCATACAAGTAGAAAGCATGTATAGTCCTAGTTAAGACATCATCCACTGTATTGCTTTACCTGCCAATAAATATTTAGATTTGCAGGGCAAACAGAATGGCCCAAGAGTATTTAGAAAAGCAACAATTTTTTGCACACTTCATGATCATGGTCCTATTTTCATATCTTATGAAGCCATTCCACACCAATTCAACCTTCATAAAACATTTACTGGCTTCTCAACACGTAAAAAAAATCATAAAAAAGACATCTTTCATTCAAATTACATTTTCAAAATATTCCTAAAAGTAATATTCAATCTCAATATTTCATAACTTACTGAAGTCCAAGAAAAACTGACTGAGAGATCATGACTGTCTCAATGACCATAAAGGATCTAGTTTACTGAGAGGATCGGATGCATTGGTTGGTTTTTCCACAGATGATGATCCTGGCGGTTGAGGCTCAGGTTCAACTTCTTCACTGCTGTTCTGGGACTTTGAATCTGCACAGAAATAAAGTCAGTGTAATCAAAGAAGCCATTTTTCTCAGAAGTTCACTTAACACTCATAATCACATAAACCTTTTTGTAGAAATTCCAACTGTTCAATATTAATAAGTTATGATTTGGTGCTAGTGGTTTTTTTTACATAAATAAATTAAATTTGTTCAAAGGATTTGTCGCCCTGACCAGAATTCACAAATGAAATTGAAATTAATTGAAGGAGAATAATTATAAATTATTTTATTAATAAAATAGTTTATTCAGCTCTTTTGAAACTATTAGTACTACGAAAGTAAGTGAAAACAAACACCAAACAACATGCTAAAAAAATTGAAGTGACAAAGGCACACATACACATCAATTAGAAAATAACAGGCAAGTATGCTGACCTCTGTCAGTTTAAACTGATTTTGGTGCAAAATTGAATTTTCTGTTATTTTACAATTGTACTACCTATTTACTTTTGTTGAAAATCATTTATAGATTTCAATTTGGTTGAAATCTCTTTAACCTGAACTTAATTATTTTAGTCATTTTGAAGATGACCATAACATCACTACAAAAAAGCTTTATTTACATAAAATTACCAGAAGCCAATTACAATTTCCATTACATAGATTTAGATATAAAATTAAGAGACTTTCTAGAGACTGAATTCAAAGTAATTTAACAGTGGAAAACTATTGAGAAAATTTAATTCAAACAGAACAAAAATATTTAGTATGTTGTATAATGATGCAAGGAAGCATTGGGCATTTACAGAGATATTGAACAGAGATTACGGCAACAAACAATACAGAAAATAATATAAATAAGTCAGAATATAAAATTACATTGATAAGATTGTATTAGTAAATAGAAACAAGAACAGACCTACAAAGTAAATATTATATAAATAATTAATATAGTGTTTAGAAATTAAAATATTTATAAACAAAAACTGACACACAGTGTAACAACAAATAAAGAAATAAGACAAATAGAGGAGAACTAGGAGTGAAAATAAATTATTGGGTCTGTTCAATTGTAAGATAAGACTTAAATGTGGGATGGTTGGGCAAAATAGAGATGTTAATGGTTTGCATAAACAGAAGACGAAGCTCTTGAGGTGTGTGGGGCAGTGAAAAGTGAATAGAAAAGTGAACAGTGATATGACAAACTTATGACACAAGGAAGCTCTGGCAAATGAAGAGCAGCCTGAGCTATGGAAATCAATACAGATGAACTACCATGGAATGAGTTATGAATTAGATATGTGGAAGGGTTGATTTGTATTGGAGCTATCCAAAGCTAGACGCTTGCGTGATAAGCCAGAGGCTCAGGAACAATTAATAACTATTCCAGACTTTGTTCTTTGTGTGATAAGTTTTCCAAGTGAGTGAGTTTCATGTTTCTGGGTGCATCAACTATTTTGGTCATTAGACTTGTAAGTGGAATACCTTATTTACCCGAATATCAGTACTCTCTGAATCAGTACTTCCCTAATTTTGAAGAGGTCCCCTAAGATTTTTTAAAAACTAATTCTTACTATTTAAGTCAAAATAAAATTGCAAATTTCTTATTGACCAGAAAATTGCCTTGTTGATAAGAATGTAAAGACTTATTACTGAACTATCATTTTCTTGTTCTTTAAAATCACTATAAGTGTGGTTTTTGTCACTGTCCTCATCATTTTCAATGTATCAATCTCTTTTCTTTTGGTCCTCCTTCCATGCTGCAACAATCTGACTTTTTTAGCCCCTCTGAAAGTTTTGCACAATGAATTTGCTCATTTCTTAATCTTTTATCAGATGCCTTCTAAGAACATTCCCTTCTGTGTCACTAGATTTTCTATCTGTACCGGCACTTGTTGATGGCCTCTGTTTCTTTAACAATTTAAAACGCATATTCACACTCGACTCATTTGAACAGAGATTCCAACCAGCCTCATCAAATTTGCATCATGTAACAAAATCTCAGTATTTATTTCCATGTTATATTTCATTTGATACAATGCCATTCATTTGAGATACTCTTATTTACTGGCCCATTCAAAAATATCTGTATGAGTTGCCCAGCAAATTTGCGGTGGATGCCAAGAATATGACAGTGAATATAATCACATTGTAGATTCGCCCAATATTTTTACCGTCTTCACAATTTAATGTCAACATTAACAAGTTTCACAACATCGCATGGCAATATAAAAACTTAAACCAAAACCGATTAGACTTAATTTGTGAACATAAGATGACTTCGCATTTTTTGACCAGGATATTTAGCAAAAAAACACGATTTATGTTTGGGTAAATACGGTACATTTTATAACTTGGAGGCGGTGGTGTTCCTCTCCTACTGGAACCAGAGAACAGGCACTGATCTTCACATTGGCTTGCAGAGACATCCTCTAGCGAGGCACTGCCACTGCTGGGATAAGCTCAAAGCTTCCATCTTGTGTGGGTGTAGTACATGTGGGATTATAGTACAAGTGTAAGGGAACAGGAGGGGACAAGGAGATTAAGAAGAAATCATATGTGGTATGTAGCAGAAAATTACAGATCAGAGCAGATGATCACTAGAATTCTCCTCCAAACTTAATTTACCTTAGCTTTATAGATAGTGTTGAAAATCTGCATCATTGGGACTGTAACCCTATGACCTGCACGTCAAAAATGGAGCAGAATAATGGTAGTTGACACCGAGGTAAAACTTTCTATGCGACCGTGTTTAATCATGTATAGTGCAATGAATAAACAGTCAGAATTATTGATCTTCAATTACCTCATTTAAAACAACATTAGCCATATTGCATGTGTTACATGGTGACCTTACTACATTACAAATATTGAAATAGATAATAAGAAAAAATAATGACTGGCTTTGTTGATTGTAGTATTGGCTGTCAATTGAACTGTCTTCCAACAAGGCTCTAAAGAACAATACATATTATGGTTTTAATTTGCTATCAAAGCTGTTGCTTAATGATTCATTCAGTAACAGTGCAAGTGTATTAAGAGTATAGAGATTCATTGGTTTTATTGTGTAGTGAATGGTAATTGTTAATTTATCTATGACATACAACAAACAAAATACTTAAATCAAATACAGAAATTTTGAAGCAACACTACAAAAACTGAATCAAGCGAAGCCATTTGTATAATAACATAAGGTCACACCACTCAACCAAAATATACAATGCAACATTCATATTGCATTACAACCAATTATTCTTGCATACTCTTAGTCAATTCATGCTACAAATAAAAAGCAGCTCTCAAATTAACAAGCAAAGTGCTCCCTCTCATTTCTGTGCAGGTGATTTCACACTCATTTTCCCCCTCCTCATTCATGAACTTAATAAAATGATTTCTTCATAGAAAGCAGTAATCAAATTTTTAAGAAAACATACAAAATTGGTTGCAAATTTCAGTTTTGAAGAAGAAGTCAGTTCCAGCCACAAGCATAAATTTAGGATAATCATTAAAATAAAAATATTTTTTTTACCAGTGTTGACTTGAAATTTTATCAACCTTTGCCACAATTATCTCTCTCTCACACTAATCAGTGTGTTTCTTATGTTTGTGACAAATTTCATAAAAATTACTTGTTGTATTATATTTAATATGATTTTATTATAGTGTAACTTTAATCACAAGCAACAGGAATTTTAATCTTGTATTTTGCAGCTATGTGTTTCTTGACATTTGCTAGGAAACATAAAATATAAAGAACTGAAAGAGGAGAAGGATATATACTGTATATACATTTGATTTATTAGTGTTAGTAAATGGAAAATTATAGAACAACAAAATTTTATTTTTATATATTACATATTTTCATTTATAAGCATTCTCTATATGGCATCGGATTGTCAACTGATTCACTTGTTTGAAGATTTTGGTACTCCCTATTAATGATTTAGAAACTGGATCTGATATGAATGGTATATCCACAATTAAAATTAATTGTAAAAGCAAAATTACTGTACAACTTTCTAAAAAAAATTCTAGTAGATGTTTCAAATTGGACAAAATTCACTTGGAATGTATTCATGCAAACAAAATTAAAATACTGAAATATGAAAAATGAACCACGTTACATTTACAAATCTAAATCTGAAAACTTTCTTGATATTCAGAAATTTAAGTGGGTCAATAACAATTTTACAAACCGATATTGTCAAAAAGAGTAAAAGTAAAAGCACTATAACAAAATCTTCACCCAAATATCAGTTACATAACCTTAACCATGGAATATATCACAAATAGTCATCCAGAAAGAACCATCGAGTTATTCACTGGCTTTTTATTAATTAGCACAGACTATAATAAGAGAGAAAAACCATGCAATTTTATTGTGTACCATCTAAAAAATACTTTGATATTGAATCACTTTGTGTGTCAAATATATTTTGGTAATGAATGGGAAATGTAAGTACATGAATAATGGTCAGACTATTAGACCGACCAATTCCAACTAATTTTAAAAACCTCATGTGAGTTTTAGGAGTGTTATTCTATCATTACAAGAAGAGTGTTTGTACTTATTCTACTGGTATGCGACTAAATAGCAAGCCTAAGGCTGAGAGAACTACCTAACCCCATGCGGTCGAGCCCTGACTGCAACTGACTCAGGTCTGCAGGGGCCCCCAGCAGGAAGTCCTCGGATGGGTGGCGCGTGTGGCACTTGGTTCCCCGGTTCCTCTTGTCCTCAAAGGATGAACGACTGGTCAGGATGCCTCCTGCAGGCAGGCATCACAGCATCATCCAGTGACTACTTCAAAGGGGGAAAAAGTGCTGCTCTGCACACCAGGGGGTATTAAATGTGATTAAATTTCAATTCAGCAAATAAAGAGGAACTTAGGGCAAGAAAGGGTTGCTGCTCTGTTTGATAATACAGATGATAATACACAAATGTTTATTTTATCAGAAACTTTGATTTCTGATTTTTTCTTCTCCACACACAAACTTTGCAGGCATCTCTCACATATTTTTCCCTCTATTATAACCTTATGGAGAAATGTGTCAAACAAAAACTGAAGTTCTGGACCCCTTTTTAATAAACATTCAATCCAATATGTAAATAATAATAAATCTAAAACTATTGGAAAAATATGGAAAAATTATGGGAAGAAAATAATTTTTAAGAGAAAATGCATTCTTGATAAATACAAATAAATTACTAAAAATGCAAAGCTTCTTAACATGCAGAATTCAATGTAATAAAATTGTGAATGAAATTCTATCAAAAATTTCATTTTTCAATTATTGAAATAAAAATACAATTATATTAACTGAAGATTTAAGATATTGATCACATTTCATTTTCATTACATTCATTCCCATTTAACTTACCCATTATTTTAATTAATTTCCATACCCTTAATTCCCATCGCAACCATTTAACTTACATTCATAACATAAAGTGCTCATATTCCATGATTATGTGTAAGTTCATTCAAAAATAAACTGATTGTTTTTTGTTTGAAGGGAAAAGTTGTGAACATTTTCCATAAAACTGATTTCATAAAAGATCTATAGATAAGTACGAGTAAATTGTCATTTATAAATCAAAAGAGGCATGCACAGTAGCAATGTTTTTCAGTTCCTACCACAATGTTAAGAAGAATTAAAACCCCCTGCATACTAATAAGTAAAATAAGTACATGAGTTATGATGTGGAATTCTCTCTTCGTGAGAGATATTGAGTTGCTGTTGTTCAAAAGCACATGAAATAATTGCTGACTGCATCAATTATTAAGAATAAGAAAAATCCATCATCTATGTGTCAGTAATAGTCAGGCACTTAAGAAGTACATGATGATTACAAAAGCTTGTTTCCAACAAAGCAATTTTATAGAGGTTTCTATAAAATATTCCATATTTTCTTGAGAATAGGCCTCGCCTAAACCCAGACAACTGTACTTTATGTGTTAATTTTTGCAATAATGTCATTTAAAAATTCCTAATTCCTAAAATTCCTTGCAATTTTCTTTGTCAGAAGGTCCTAAGAAAATTGCTGGTGGAATATTGGAAAAAAAAAAATTGTTGTAATTTGTAATATTTTGTACAACTTTGTAATATTGTTGAAAAATAAAAGATAATTTTTGAAATATTTCACCATTTTGAGATACACATGTATTAACCTCCCTTCTGTTTTTTGTTGGCAATTTTGGATTAAAAAAGGGAGGCTCATATTTGAGAAAATACAGGATTTTATAAAAAACTGGTTTTAAAACTATCTCAGTATTCATATACAACATGCGTGAGAAAATGTAAGCTATATCTAATTGAAATGCACTGGTTTTGATTCATAAGCAACTTGTGGCAAGCAATGGAAATTTTTCTCTCTTTTGTGTGAAATACATTGTAAAAATAAAAAAAAGAAAAAAAAAAAGAAAGAAAGATACTTTTGCTACCATGCAATTGAATTCAAATATATTCACATTTATTTTCACTCAAAGCATTGGGATGTAAGTTCTACTGAAACTTACGCTTCATAAGTAGATCCTGCGCATGGTACAATAAAGCTTGGTAGGCAAATTGGAGATGCTGTCTATCCCTCAAGCAGTTCTTGCGATGTGAGGATGCAGCTGCAGCTACAATCACTAGATCAGCCAGACCCCTCCCTGCTTGAACTTCTAGGAGTGCTGCAGCCAAAACACACAGTAGGCCGGAACGACCCACTCCAGATAGGCAGTGTACTACAAGAGGATGCCACCCTACACGTTGCTGCCTGTGCAAGCTTAGCACTTCCAAAACCAATGCAAGAAATGGGCCTGGTGATGACGGAAATGAACTGAAAAAATTACATTTACTTTTGTAAGAGGATGCTGGTAGAAGTTTTTTGTTATGCTATTAGGGCATTTTAAAACCTCATTTAAGGTATGCAGAAAATCATAAACTTATCACATCAATTTTATTCTAAGGAATAAATGGATAAAATTAAATTTACGAAGGAACAAACACACAGGATCCTGAAAGTATAGACTTCAGCAGCCAGAGTCTGCATCTACTTGGCTGTCCAGGAGATGCTGCATTCAAGGCACAGATGCCAACATTCCAGTCGTCATCCTGTGACCTTCCTCAGGCCGAATCCATCTCCACACATTTCGCACTGGGGGGATCCAGCATGTCAACCAAATCATTGGTATCTGTGACAAGTATGCAGCATCTCCCAGACAGTCAAGTAGACACAAAGGATCCTCTCAGCAAAAAGAAAATAAATGTTGCAAAGATTTCACATTTAAGATATTACACAAAGCAAACAAGGTTTTGAATCACAGGCAAATAATAAACACAAGAGAAGGAAAAAAATTAAAACCCCTAATCAATTTAACTTTAAAGCAGTAAAATAGCCATACATTTCATCAGAATTTAAAGGACAAAACCCATCCACAAGAAAATTAAATCAATTTAAAAAAATAATATTATATCATTAAAAAAAAGAAACAAAAATAATTTGTAGCATTTATATTTTCAATTAATATTAACTATTTCTTACAAAGGATTTTTATTAATTAGCAACATGTTTTTACATTAGATTAGCCAGTGTGTAAATGGCACTGAGCCTCTGACTGAAGGGATAAACAGCATTGAATGACTGCAATGTTATGAGACAAAAATTAAGGGAGGAGTACTCCAGAAGATTATTTAGTCACATATACAACAAGGAAATAAAGGATAATAAAACAACGAGGAGGATAATAAAACAAGGAGAAGGTTGACAGTTTGTGGTCAGTCATCTAACCTATGAAACATTTACAGTGTTGTCACCTCAAATTACAGAACAAATTAATTGTTTGCCTCAAAGCTTGTAATTAATCAGCTATGTATCATTACATGTGTGGTGAGTGAGGTTCATCATGATACAAGATATTGTGTGAGCAGGAATTGGGAGAAGCATGTACTTTTGGCATTATTGTTATTGTTCATTGAATATAATTGCAAGGTAGTTATATTGTAATATTGTAGGGCACATAAAACATGACAACAGTGTGCCTCTCTCACTGCCTCCTTATCAATCAACCTCCAATTTTATTTGAACCGTAGTAATGCACTATGCAAATGCCTACCTTCCAGGCCATCCAGTAAACTGCAAATGTACAATAACACGAGTAACTCTAGTGTCACCACATGTTATGGACAAAATCCTTTCCACCCAGTGGGCCCTAGTATTGCAACTTTGAAGAGTTAGTCGGAGTCTTCCTGACACCATTTCCTGGGACTTGTCAACAGGCCAGTACACTTGACCTGAAAGCTAAAAATATTCCTTCTGTACAAGAGTTTTTCTTTCAAGGATGAAGTAGGATGTTCAAGCAAACTATTTTTGTCAAATTCCATTTGCTACTAATGCTCTTGAGTTTGTAACAAAGAACTTACCTCTGCATCACTCAGTAAACACACCACAACTTCAACCTGTTGCTCCATCACCATGGTCCAAAAGTCACTAATGGTGGAGGGAAGAGGTGCTTGAGTCAAAATAAACGGAGGAGTCAATGGTGTTACATCCTATAAAAACAAAAAATAACTAATGTTCATAAGAAATATATTAGGAAGGGCAGATAAATTGCTCTCCACACTTACCTTGACAAAGGATGCATTGATGTAATCATCTTTGGTTGATGGCAGTTCCACCCGAGAATTGTCATACGGTAGGATATCTGGGAAACGATTCTTCATTGGATAGCATCGAGCCACTGATATACTGCGTTTGTGGGCATCCTTTTCCTTTACATGTACATTAAACAAAAAGAAAACCTTTTATTAAGTTGAGAACATTTGGTGATACCAATATTCATACAGAATTTATACTAATCCTATTTCAAAGAAGATATGAAAGAAAAGAAAGGCTGCCAACAGATATTTTATTCACAATTTGTATGACATTTTGTTTCAAGTTTTCATGACTTTAAAGAAAGGGAGGTCAATTGAGGGATCAATTGAATGGGATCAAAGGGAGGTCAAGGATGATAATTCCCTGCTACCATCCTGTCGACTTTCTTGAAAATAGGAATGATAGTCACTGAAACCCAATCCAACAGAAAGCAACCTTTCATGGATCGTTCAAAAAAGTTGGCCAAGTGTGGAAGTGCAATGATTAATCAGGAAGAGATCAATCCTGTTGGAGCCCATAGACATGTTATCTTCGATTTCCATAAGAAGCTTATGGACTAGTGGAGTAGAGAAATGGGCATCACAGGGGCTGGTTTGAATGTGTGAAAGAGCTATGCTGATTAGTGGATCAGTTACTTCATGCACAAAGACTCTAAATTGATTTGCTAAGATCTTAGGAATCATAGCGGGATCGGAGATCATAAGGCTGCCTGAATTAACTAGAGTACTAGGTGGAGCAGATTTGGTTCTCAATTGGCTAATTTGTAAAAACTGGAGGATATGAGTTCTTCTTCATAACGTGCATATTGGAAGTCAAATGCAGAGTTGACCTGGTTTTGCAAGAGTTTATAAGCAACAAATTAAGTAGTGTTATACAAGTCTTTCCTTTACGTGTTTAATCTGAGATTTCTCCTTCAGTACTACCAGGTGTTGAATCAACAATGTCATTCATGGTTTGTATTGTAGGACTCTCCTGTATTTACATGTAGAATCACGATTTATCCACTTTTTCAATACCAGGGCATGGCAATATGGATTTTTCTGTCGAAAATTCTCTATTTTTTGGACCACAATTACAATACTTAGGAAGGTTTTCAAAAACTCAAAAACGGCGCTCACAGAAAGATTTCCACAATTAGGAGGATCATATATAAACGCCTCATCCAAAAACATGACACAAGTGTGCTAGCCCTTACTAAGCAGCTGCAGTAGATGAACGATAGACGAAAACCAGCAGGAGGACCACCTCTCCAATGTAAATTCCGCTTAATAACAGCATTCGCATTGGAGGGGATGTCACATATAATGAAAAGGTGAAGTGAACTTACACATAAAAAACATAAGTGTCTCACGATTTATTTACATTGGAAGATATTTTGACCATAGACTTCTTAACAGACCAAGTCAATTAAAAATTTTGAAATAAAGTCTTAGAATCATACAATTAAAAGTTTTTATTGCAACCTTTTGAGATATCATCTTTTTTCCCCTATCTTCAGTCATTTAAAAAAATAAAAGTATTCATATGTTTAAATAAACATGAACACCAACCAGTGCGAAAGCACTTTTACCACAGTGATCACGTAAAGAGAATGAAACAATCACAACCAAATTGGAGAAACAATGGGCTGAGAGTGTTATGAGGTAGTAGAAAAAGTATTTGAATCTAATTTACTGCATAAATAGAACTAACCCTTTCTATCTCACCTGCAAATCGAGGAGTTCTTTCCACTTAATATCCAAAGGAGTAGGGCCATTCAAAGTTTTTGATGTGAGACCTTCTACAAACTTCTCAAATTTTTCCACATCTTGAACAAACTGATTGAGTAATTCCGGGTCACTGTATGGGTCTTTCCCAGACACTTTACTCAGGCGACACTCTGCTCCTCGACATCCTTCTTGACCCTATAAAAACATGAAGGACGAACTGACTAAGGCAACTACCAAATCTTGAAATTCGGAAGTACTAGTAACTAATATGTACACAATACAATAAATATTCAAAATACAATACTTTCTCTATTCTACATAGTAAAAGTGAAAGTAAAAAGGATACTGAATATGAGACAAAACGTTCACACTTGTTAAATAAATACAAAATTAATATGATAAACTCAACAAAACTATAATAATTATTATTTTAATTTTAATGTTTATAGAGATAAAATTGATAATAATTATATAGAAGAAGATGGTTCAAACAGAACTGTGTCACAATCTTCTTGAAAAATGGGAGGATGACCTCCAATTTCCTTAATATTATTAGTCGATACTTTCATTGCAACAAAACAATTAATTATTTTTTTGTTTAGTTAACTAAATATGCTCATTACTTCCATGAAAAATCTTTGATTATCTTAATGTTAATAGCACGTATGCAATTGAAACTCTACTACTATCAATCATAATTCAGAAACGGATCAAAATCGTGTAATTATGACATTGTAGGCATGCACACACACATGTGGCAAAAATATTTTGTCGGCCATGAAACATGAACAAAAATGTACATCACAGATTATGCATTTCCAGAAACTACATATGAACAACGAGTGAATAAAACAAATTTTGTAAAGTAAACATTGGTTTTGGCATTAGGCGATTTTAAATAACATTAAATATGTACCATGAATAAATTGTTTTACACGTAATACATTTGGTCTTGACACATTACAAATGTAAAAAATTAAGTCAGTTGTGTTAAAAACATATGCCAGCAAAACTGAGTCAGAAGTGACTCATTTTTGTTACTTTCTAATATTAATACATGGTGTATTCTCTCTCATACCTGACTTCACCTTTCGTGAGAAGTAATGATTACATGGCTTCGACAGCTTCTTCCAATATTTTGTCAAAATATTTTCAATATCTTACATTTGCAAACATTTCTTGTAAATAAACAATGCAAGGCTCACTGAAATAGGCATTTTTCAGAAGCTATGCAACATCAAAAATATGCATTGAATGCTAAATATTTGCATCAATGTATCAAAATTTGAATAATTTTTCAATGGAAATTAAGAAATATTGAATGTAACATGAGGATCAAGGGGTATAACTGTACACGTGGTAAATAAGAAAATTTGTGCCTATCGTCATTCGTTTTCTTGAACACATTCATGCAATTATACCTCTATCCACTCCTTTCATTAATTACTATTTTGACCATTTTTTAAAATAAAGTACTATCACTTTTGTCCATTTTAATGGTTCATTTTATTGAGATGTCATAGTTAAATTATATGAAAACATTTCAATAGTTGATTCTTGCTTGCATATGTGACTGCGCAATGAATTTGTAACTAGCAAACATTAATGAAAATGTCAGGGAAATTGCACAATTTTCAACATTTAAGAAATATTTTAGGTTAATTTAATGCAAACTGTACCTCATTTTCAACAAGATGGTCCGCATCTCCAGACATAGCACCAGTTTTCGTGGGTCCCACTGGGCTCTTAATGACACCAGGTTCAATCACTGGAACAGTATCTGCACTCAGAGGAACATTAGGAGCCACAATGGGGGCAGGAGTGGAAACCGAAACAGAAGTAGTTGTGGAAGTAGTAATAACAGAGACAGGTGTAGGAGCTGAAGCAGCATTAGATATTGCACTTTCAGAGACTTTTGATACAGGTAGCTGTTGAGGTGTCAAAGGAGCCTGATTTAGGGAAAAATCTAATCCAGCAAGAAGGTCTACATTGGATGATTTGGAAAATGTAGGCGCAGTGGTAGTGACAGCAGTAGGAGTGGGAACTGAATTAACTGAACTTGTAGCAGTAGTGGGTTCACTACTTGCAGTACTTTGACCTGAAGCATTAGGGTACATGTAAGTGGTGGTTGTGGTTTGTTTGCCTCCGCACGCCTGCATGTAAGTCATGTTCTGAGGGTCAACAGGTGCAGGTGCCACCTGTGCTGCTGGACTATCAAGACTCTGGTAACCATAAGGAAGTGTGTAATATGCACTTGGGGAATATGCATTTGATGTGGGATAACCAGAAGGTACAGCATATGTTGTATTGTATTGCGCAGCAAACGTCTGTCCTTCAATTCCTGTTTGGGAGGAGCAGGTTTGAGAGGTGGGATAGCTACCAGCATTTGTGTAATAGGATGCAGAAGCAGCAGCTACATACGGATAGGCAGAATAGGCGCTGGCAGGGATGTAACGGGATGGAGAGTTCTGCGATGGATGTTGGGACTGCTGTGGTTGCTGTGGTTGCTGAAGTTGCTGTGGTTGCTGCCGCTGCCACTGGTTGTCACCACTACCTCGGATTCCTTGTTGGCCTTGATCTTGAGATGAAGGCTGATGAGGATGAGTGTTGTCACTTTTGTTGGACTTCTGTCCATCCAGCTGAAACTGTGATCCTTGATGAGAGTATTGCTGAAACTGAGTTTGGGGCTGCTGAGAATACTGTGATTGTTGAGGCAGTTGTTTTTGAAGATACTGAAGCTGTTGTTGAGAAGTCAGTTGCTGTTGCTGCTGTTGAGGAGTCAGTTGCTGTTGCTGCTGTTGAGAGTAAAGTTGTGAGTTCTGTTGTAATGTATAAGGCTGCTGCTGTTGGGTATATTGTTGTGGTACTGTTTGCTGTGATTGAGCTGGCTGAGATTGGAGAGGTTGTTGGGGTAGTTGGGGTTGCTGTGATTGTTGAGATTGATTTTGCTGTTGTGTTTGGGGTTGTGGCTGTTGCTGTGCAGGTTGCTGTTGCTGTTGTTGTTGTGATACTTGTTGATGCGACTGTTGCTGCTGTTGCTGCTGTTGCTGCTGCTGCGATTGAGGATGTTGAGATTGAGAAGGGTACTGCTGGTACTGAGAGTACATTTGATAAGCTTGTTGATATTGTTGCTGTTGGGACCACTGTCCATCATAAGACATAGTTCCTTGGATATAATTACTGGCAGTTGCTGGAGTTGCCTGAGGTTGTTGAGAAGCCAGTGGTTCTTGAGAAGCGAATAAACGATCATATGTACTCTTATAAGGTTTTGATGTACCAATGTTTGAAGGATTTGTAGCTGTCAATCCAGTTGATACACTTGGATAGCCAGACAAGGATGGAACTTCACCAGATTGAATTGACAGATTCATGTTAGTTGCCTGATAAGTTCCTGTTGGATATGCAGCAGATGCTGCTGCTCCTGTTGGTGCATAACTAGTTTGCGGCAGAGACTGGGCAACAGATGTTGCTTGATTTTGATATGTTCCTGTATACATGTAAGCAGGGTTTGTGGCAGCTGAAGAGACTGTGGCACCAGTATCATAAGCAGCTGATGTCGGTGGCATGTAGGAACCGTACTGTTGGTAAGTGGGAACTACTGGCTTGTACTGGGGCTGTGGTGGTGTTGGGTAGGCACCAGAAGCATTTCCATATGCAGCTCCAGCCAAGTAACCAGGAGGATATCCCCCACTTGTAATTCTAGCAGAAACATCTGGCTGATATGGATATTGTGAAGATCCTGTAACAGCACTCGATTTATCTGTGTCTGATATAGCTGGCACTGTTGGAGGAGCTTTTGCAGAAGGTTCTGTTTGTGATACATCAGGTCCTTCTGACCCAACTGGTGCTGGACGTACTGGAGGCAGGGCCCATTGGGAATGGGATGATGTCACGGTGCTCACCTAAAGAGAGGAAGCAGTTGTTAAAATTATGCAATTCCACATCCATCATTTTAAAATTAGCACATAATGAAACAACCAAACTCTGAATAGAAGACATTCACAATTGTTATAACTACTGACCAACTACAATCCAATTGGCAAACACTTTCTTGTATTTCATGAGTAAATTGAGGGGATGGCTGGAGAAAGGGCAAAACTTGAATTATGACGTTCATCTGTAAAACGTTTCAAAATGTTCTTTGGGTGACTTTCCACTACCCCTCCAAATAGTAGTGCACCCACCCCAATAGATAGTGTTTGAGAGACATTTGAAATACTGAATAGCGCCTTTGCATTATTTTGCATTATTGCAAGCTTGCATTATTTCGTTTCCCAGTGTTTAGAACGTCAATAGGATGACTGTGATAACAGGTGTGAATTTGTCCAATATACCTGATTTTTCATCAAATAATAGTGAGTTCAAGCATCCAGATGATAGTGATAGATCTTCAGATGCTTATTTACATAGTGTTAAAGATGAAAATAAAGATCATAAGAAGAAATCTCTTCCGAAAATCAGAAAACAAGAATTGAAGAAAAGACGCCAAAATAGTGGTAAAAACTACATCACCAGTTCATTTATGTTAAGGATTTACTGAAATATTCAACTGAAATATGAATATATTTACAGAAATTGAACAAATTGATGAGTGTGTAGATTCTGTATATTCAGAAATTAGTAAATATCTGCAGACTTTCTGAGAAGAAAACATTTATTTATTTTAATGCACTTGATACACTTGGATAGCCAGATGGAACTTTACCAGATTGAATTGACAGATTCATGTTAGCTTCCTGTTGGATATGCAGCAGATGCTGCTGCTCCCGTTGGATTGTTATATGTAAGCTTGTTATATGGAATAAGGGTACATTTTAACACTTTCAAATTAATTAAAAACCACACTTTTTAGCATTTGAGTTCATTTTTTGAGCTTAATCAGATACTAGTATGATTTTTCATGTGATATATAAGTATTTTTATTTCATACGAGAAATACAGATTGTGCACAGTTTTCTACTGAATTACGCCCAAGATTTATAGTAATTAACAACATATATAATTAACAACATAAGATCTTATAATGACAAAACTCAACAGGCAAAACGAAAACAAAATGATCCACTTATTCTCTAACCTAACAAATGGATTGTAAATAAATAAAACTACATGGCAGTTGGCAAAAATGAGTATTAAGATGTACTTAATTAGCATGTTGAAGACTTATAGTGACAAATCAAAACAAATAATAAGACACACAAACAAAGTGTGGTCTAGAGATCAATTAACAAATGACATAATTTCTTGGGCCAATTTGCACTGCATAATTACAATAGTTTCTCTTTAAAACTCATCAGAAAGTGAGGTGAGAAAGTAAAAAAGATTACTTCTGACACTACCTGAAGAATTATTAGTGCTGTGAAAAATTACCTGGTCATAGTAAGGAGATTGGCCTGAACTAGAAGAAACAGCATTTGATGTTGAAGGAACAGTGCCAGTCGTGATGCCTGCAACAGGATGTACATAATCGGCTGGATAGTACATGGGCATGTCCGCAACAGTTGCAACTGGTTGAGTTCCAGCACCATATCCTCCCACTGCAGCAGCTGCAGCAGCAGTAACTGAGGAACCTCGCTTCATGCTCTGCAAGTAGTCTCGCAACTTTGGCCCTCCACTGCTGGTGCTACTTGAATCAACACTCATGGATTCTCCTGTTCCAATTGCTACTCCACTACCTAAAATGAAACAAGTTTACAACATTTTTTTAAAATGTGTTTACTTTTCATGTTCTAAATAGCTTCCAAGAAAATAAATACAATTAGAGTGAAACCATCAAATAACATTTTTTTAAGGGGGCAATGAATTGTGAACACTGAATAGACTATAAAGAGGAAAACATTTGATCGATAATTATAAAACTAGAGTTAAATTTTACTGAAGATATCATCACTTCATCAAAATTCTTTCTATTATTAGTTTCAAGATAGATTTCATTACCTTCAAATCTACAGAAACAGATTTTACCTCAAAAGGGATCATGAAGCTCTGTCTTTAGAATTGAAAATATATTTAACAAAGTATTGAAATTACAAGTATCATTCAGTATATCTGGTTGCTTTGAATTGAAGAGTCTTAAAGTGGACAACAATTTGATTGATGATTTGATGATCACCATGATTCAAGGTGAGAGGATGCCACAGCTGAGTATGATGACGAGGGTAGTGAAATTAAGGCATGTTAAATAAAGATAAAGAGGTGGTGCAAATGCAAGAAATAAAGATCTTGACACTTAGAACAACATTTAGAGAAAAGGTTTTTCTTTTCTCTAAATCACAATAGTTCATTGTTTCTTTATTGCTCTTTCTGGGTATTTTTTATTTCTTTGGAGAAATATGTTACTTAATTTCTGAGAGTTAAATAATCAGATATTTTCAGAAAGAATTTGATTTTGAAGACCTTCATCATAAAGAATTATTTATAAACTCCCATGTTTATAGTAGTAAATACACAGCAATGCATTAAGAAGTAGAAATAACAAATTATGATTTTTTTCCTTTTTTCTGCAAAGGGGGCAAAGTAATTGCAGGAACTTATACTACAAATCAGGAAAGTGGCGGTGGTACTACTGCAACAAAGCAGGGTAATGTGCTTAATTGAACTAGTTCGCTGAGAAATACAATGATTTAAATTCTTGATTGTGATGTTTAGAGTCATCATGAAAATTAATATACAGAACTTGTGAATCAGTGGTATGAGAAATTTTTTTAACTAAAAACAATAAATATACTTAATAAAATAAAATTTTTCCGTAATGACGTTTACAGAAAATAAAAGTTACATTCCACACTGATTACTTGTAGATCTCTAATTTTCCCATTTCAGGAAATCAAAATATATACAAAAATATATTTATATATTTGATGCAAATTACATACAACAGAACTTCCTTACTAATATCTGGTATACTGTTCTTCACTTTACCATTAATTTACTAATCATTACAATGCAAAATGCCTCATCAACTTTCATTAGTGTCTTTTTATCTCTACAATTCAACAAGTAAATTTTCCTTATCAGTTTCTACATCTATTTGAATGAAAGGTTTTCCACAAGTTCAATATTTTCAAATGATAAATTCAACACTTGAGAGATGTCTTAATAATAAAAAAACTTTTCTTCACAGTCTACTTACTAGAACCAGCAACTGGACTTGCAGAACCTGGAACAGCTGCAGCAGCAACAGCTGCTTTAGAAGCTGCCGGGAGAGCCTTTGCCAGCACCTGCTCTCGTTCTTCTTCTTGTACTTTGCAAGCACTGCGCACACGCTGTAACAGTTTGCTCACATTCACCTCTAACTTTCGGTAGAACTCTAGGCCTTTGCTTGATTTAGCCAGAAGGTCTTCATATGCGTCATATGAAGCAATCAGAGCAGAAATAGTAGCTTCACGCTTGCGCACTGCTTCATTTGTGGCCTTGCGTGTACTGCCATAACGAGCATATGCATCAGTAAGGGCACGCAAAATATTGTCTTGAGCAGCTAGATTTTGTTCAACTAATGAAACCTGCGAACATTATAAAGATATGTACAAAATGTAATACATGCACAAGACTGACATAGAATTTAACTCATGGAATATGCACAGCAATTCAAATAGCATAGATGAATATAATAACTCTTTTAAGTTTATTTTTTAACTTCAAAAACTGTAAAAGATATTTCTGGTGTGTGTGTGTGTGTGTGTGTGTGTGTGTGGGGGGGGGGGAAGAAATGCTCCATTTGAATACTTTTTCTCTCATTTTAATATGATTTAAACCAGAAGAGCAAATTTGAATATAAAATAAAATCATTTGAAACACACTTAAAAAATACACTATTTGCCATTGAAGAGATAATAAAAACTTTTTATAACCGAGTAATTTATACGTGTTCGACATAATTTTCTGCAGAACTCATCCTCAACAGCATCAGCATCATGAACACAGGTGGTTAGGCTTCTGCACCTATTCCTTTTGTGCTTGCAATAGACTTAATGGTTTATCCATCTTCTTCTTCTTCTTCTTCTTCTTCTTCTTCTTCTTCTTCTTCTTCTTCATGTGTTGAATTATTGTAGGGTATTTGCATCTTCTTAACACGTTCCACCCATCTGGCTTATTCCTTCTTCTTTATTGCATTTTTTACTTCTAATTTATTTCAATGTCTTCATCTATTTCTTTGCTAATCTTCTTTAGATTTTCCTAGTGGAGGTCTCAAAAATGCAGCTTCTATTTATTGTTAATCACTTTTTTTCAATGTCCATACTTCAGACTTCTACATTGGTATGCCTGTAATTTTATGCATTTTAAGCTAGATGTTTGACCATGTCTTTTCCAAAATGCATAAATTGTCCCATTATTTCTATTAAATTTATTTATTATATTATCAATCTCTTTCTGTTTTGTCCAATTATCATTTCTAAATAGTTAATCTATTTATTTAGGGATGAAAGTTCCTATTACTATTTTTCCTCTTCATAACTCATTTCCTTGGAATCCGATTACTCTACACTTACTGACTGCAATTCCCCTTTTATTTTCCAGAGTGTGCTCTTTGTGGTGCTTCCACAGAGTCTCTTACGAGTGAGCGGTCATCTGCATTAAATGATTTGCTGCATTGTGATGATTTTGCTGTTTCTATTAATCTGTATCCCTTTGGATTTTGTTTCCTTCCATTTCTTTGTCAAGTGGTGGATGTACACGTTGAATAGTCTAGGAGAAAGCCCACAGTCGCATCTCTGTCCTTCATTAGTACTGAATATCTTCTTCTTTTCTATGGTGTTGCTTTTGTTTCTGCAGCAAGTTTTGATGCCTTTTATTATTCCTTTAGTACTAGTCCTTTTTCTAGTACTGATCATAACATCTCCTTAGGCGTTTTCGTAGTCAATCAGGAGATTAGTATATTGAGGAGGTTTGTTACTTCCTTTTTGCCTATTAGATTTTGAAATGTTTTCTTTTGAAATGCTGAAATGCTTTCTTTTCGAAATCACCATTGTTCCTCAAATATGATTTTTCGCACTTTAGGTTTTTTTACTATGGGGTGCTAAGAGTTTTGAGATTGTTGAAATTAGCCAGATGCTTCCACTTTTTTCCTTTTTTGGCCTTATGCTACATCCGTTACTGCCTTTCCTTGAATCTTACTTGAAAATGTTTTTGATTATATCTTTCTGAGAGTCTTGTAGTGTTCCATTTGATTGATAGTTATAATGCTCTTCTTTCTCTACCTCTGTTTCCGTTCATATTTTGACACTACTAAGTTGTTTTCTTCTTCTTTTGCATCTTGAATGCCCTCATGCCAATGATGCATAAAGAGTTTTATCCATTTCTCTTCTTCTATTTGGCTTTGTTTTCAATCATGAGTAGTCTAACAAGTTTTTGAATCCTATTCTTTAAGATCCTGTTAAATCCTTTTCCATTCTTTTGGCATTTTTCTCCCAATGCCCTTTTCTGATTATTCAGGTTATTATCTTCTTACTTAGGTTGTTGTTGTTTTTTTTCTATCGAAAGTAATGTTTCATTTTTCTTTTCTAGAAATATTCTTTGTATACCTACTTCTTCCGGCATATGAAGTCCTTCAGCTTATCATTCCATTCTCTTTTCCATTTTTTCTTCTTCTCTGGTTTGATGCATATGCTTTCTTTGGCTCCATCTATTATTGCTATCCAATATTTTTCTACTTCCTGTTTCTCAGAATTTTCAAATCTTCCCTGATATATATCTTTTATTCATTGCTCCTAAAGCAGGTTTTATTTTAATTTTAATTTTGGCATAATCCTCAAGCTCTCTTTGTTCTTCTCTGGACACAGTTAAATTTTACCTTGCTTTGTACTACGTAGTGATCTGTTTCACACTTGCTTCCTTGAAATACTATTATGACAAATTTTGTTTGCTAATTTTTTTTCATTCATTATGAAGTTTATTATTGATTTTGTTCTTGCTTGGCAAGTAAATTATTCCGTCTGTATTTGAAAAACTAATTTGTGATGGATAGGTTATTAAATAAGAATTATGTGTACTTCAATTTTCATTTGTATAACTTTCTCCCTTTTATCCTTTGCAAGGTGAAATTTCCTTTACTTCACTTGTTGCTCTTAGGTCTCCAGCTCTTATTGTGTATTATTTTTATTTGGATTGATCAACGATTTTTTTTGGTAGCAGGCTTTCGATTTTGAGATAATTACTCTGGGAAGTGAGCCATTTATAATCCTACAAGTTATTGTTTTCCTTTCTTCTGAATTATTGCCCACCTTTCTGATGTTGTTCTTTTCCTACCCCTTTGTAAATCATTATATATTCTTTACTTTTTTCTGATCCCTGATTTTTCTTCTTAATTTCTGAAATACCTATTTGATAATTTTCCTATTTGTAAGTTCTTCTAATTCTTATTTCTACATTGAATTGAATTCAATTGAATTGAATTAATGCCTTATTTTACGTGGCGAGACTCGGGCCATCAGGCACGCGCTTCTGTCTGACCACGCAAATTTCGCTATGCTCTAGCTCTAACAGAGGAAAAAGGTATTTCTTGGGCGAAAACAGGCAATTTTGAATTTAGCTCAGAGGCGTCATTTAGGCCTGAGGATCTTTTACATGCAAGTAAATCTACTAACATGGGACAGCCGGCTTTACTTCCCCTCCGAAGGAAGGCATACGAAGGATTTTTTCACCCTCAAAAATCCATGGCTTCGATTGGGTTTGAACCCGCCAACTTGGGTATACCAGTCCAATATGCTAACTATTACACAGTCGCCACCGCTACTACATAACTGAAAATGTAATGGACCAAATAACAGGAATACGTAAATCTCTAGCAGAAAACATGTATAAAATTAGAATCCATTTATATTACAAAAAGATTCACTCACATAACGCTGGTGTTTCTGCAACTCTTGATTAAAGATGGTATCAAGAGGTTCACTAGCACGTGTCACAAGTTGACGAGTGATGTCATCTTGGCAGATACTTTCCCGCAACTGAGCAGACAACATAGCTCTTTGACGACGCATTTCTTCCACTTTGGCCACAAGTTGACGAAGTTTCTCAACAGCTTCTTGATCATCTGATGCTGAATGCATACAAAAACACACATAAAAACAGAACGGTAAAATAAAAAATTTAAAAAACAAAATCTACACCATGGAAAAAAATATTTTTTTGTTCTCTCTAATAAACATAATACTATTAATGCAGAAATATTAAAATTGTATAACAATTTATATTTAGCTTTTCAAAGTTGATTCAATTAAGGCCCAAATTTGCAACATGAAAATGTATGAAAGTATTGCAATTCAGAGTTGGAATGTTTACCAAAAATTATTATCACATACTGTTGCCTACATACTCTTCACTAGAAACTTGTCATTGCTTTATGTCAGCTAATTTATCAACATTTGGAGAGACTGAAAGTGAGTTTATGAACTGTCATAAGGAGAAACTAGTAATAAAGTGGGTATTCCAAAACTTTTCTTCATCTTAGTGTAATTACTCAACTAATCATATTATTAAAAAGAAATAAAATTGTACACCTTCTAAAGATCTAAAATTCAGGGATACATTGAGCAAAAAGTCTGTGGCTTTAATGTTGAAGATGTAGAGCAGATGCAGGCTGAAAAACATACGAGTTTTGGTAAATTTCAAAATTCCAGATGTTTTAATGAAGATCCATCCATCACTAATAGACCTTAATCTTGATATACATGCAAAGTTATAGTTCAAAAGAACAGATTTTATAACCGACAATTCAAGTATTGTTGAGGTGATTCCAATACTTTTCCTCCTTTTTCTGTAGTGTAGAGAGAAAAAGTGAAAAATGATTACTATTAATTAACACTATGGATAACCAAACAGACTTCCTTAATTTCAAACAATACTTTACAACAAATTGTTGAATTAATACTCTTTAACAGAGATGCCAAAATTTCAATAAATAACCCTATCAATCAAACTCTAATAAAACTTTACCCTTCTTTCGTAATCAATTCAATACACCAAGTCAAATTGTTTTTTCTTTGTGAAACAGGAATAAACAAATAACTGCAATAACCTTGTCTTGAATTATTCTTACTCTTTTTTTTTAATGATATAAGACTTGATAATTTTTATATTACAATCTATAGGAAATAATTGATGGATTAGCAATAGAAAAATTTTAATTTCCACTGAAATCACTCAAGTGAAAATAATAACTGACACATCAGTTCACTCACACTTCTTTGAAACCAAACGAGATCAGGAGATGTAGGAATTCCTGAATACCAATGAAACCAACACAAAACAGGTATTTTCAAGCACAAACCTTTTTTGGACTTGAGACACAAGCTTGCTATGCTAACAACTGCCACTAATTCCTTAACATAAATACTGCAATATGGAATCAGGAAGCCATTTGCTAATGAATTGAAGTTTTACACTTATTATACAAACTCACTTGAAGGCGGTGAAACCTCTGGGACACTTTTCTGCAATTCTGCCAGAGGCTGAGCCAGAACTCGCAGGTTACTAACGTGCAACATCATTGCTTTATGGAGGGTCTGATTGGATTCTGAAGCCTTTCCATGTGCCTCTTGATATTTGCCAGCTTCCCTAGTAAGGTCTGTAGCAACAATTGAAGGTGGTCGCTTGCCCACTACTTCTTGGTATTTCTTCTCTTGCATTTCTTCCTCCTAACAAATGTCACAAAAAATAAAGAAGTGCATTAAATTATTACTTACTAAAATTAAAGATTATGTTTGTTCAATAAATAAATTTATCTGAAATGTGGTTCAAATATTTGACTTTACTTTTCTTTAATTTCCTTACTTATGTTCACAATTATTTATCTACTATTTATGTACTTTTACATAAAATAAATTAAACCAGTGCAATTACTTTCAGAAGAAACTTCTCCCATTTAATCAACTACAAAGATGTAGGATACTAAGCAAAAATTGGGAAAAATTTCTACATATAAAACTGAAGGATAGTGATAAACATTAAAATCCAGTAAGATTACTCATTTCTTGTTACTAGTTTTTACTTTTGTGACTTACTACATACTTACAAAAGAGATTCTAAATCAGAAAGTATTGTAATGCTGTGGCAGAAACTAGCAATTTTTCGATTGAAAAACGCATATTACAGGGACCTGGTATCAAAAAGGTAAGATACAAATCTTGATCCAACATGAAGTAAAAAACTTCCTCACCTCATCAGGAAGCTCAAAGAAAGAATTTGGACCTACTTTTGAGAAAATGTTTTATAATACTGATCATTTTGCACTGAAAATTATGGGCTAACGACTATTTTTTCAAAATAATTTACATGATGTTTATTAAAAGTACTGGTTGTGGGAAAAGGGAGAAAAAAAAAAAATCATTTGAAGAAAAAATCTTCATCTATTGAAGGTTTCTCCATACACTATACTTGTAAGAACATGCCGAAAAATTTCAACCTTTCACTATTTTCAATTTTAAAAATTTTACTGTTATTAGTGATAATCGATTTTATGGCAACTTTATAAAGGCAAGGATATTTCACTCTGTTCTTTCCAGAAATTTTAAAAAATTTGAAGAATTTTTGAGAAATTGTAGGGCCTCAAGTGAGGTTCAGAATGACTACGAAATATTATTTTTTTCAAAACTACTGTTAATAGTTTATATACTGATGTTGTTGAATGACAGGAGATTGGAAAAAATACACTAAATCATCAGGGGACAACGAGTAATTCCGTTGAAATTGTGAAATCAATATCCACAGCATTACATAAATTTCTCTATGTATATCAGCAATATACAAAGATAGTAGTACACAATGTGTTATGAATATTACTCCATACAATCAGAAATATATGAAAAAGAAAAAAAAAGCTTATAATGGAAATATTAATGACATGAAAAAGAAAGAAATCACTTTTGGGTAATTTTTGAAAAGTGAAAAACGTTAAATTGAGTTTGTATTATGTTATTCAGTGCATTTAGCGCTATCTATATAAAAAATTTAAAGAAAAATTTGGGGCTGTAATTGAGAAAATCTTCTTTTTTGGGGCTTTATTTCATGCAAAATTACACAAAAACTAGTCATATTTTGAAGAAATGTACATGACCACATTTGAAAATCTAATTTTAAAGAACAGATGCCATTCAGTAGAAAAATCTCTTCAATATTGCAGTTGGAAGTTGCCACACAATTTTGAAGTACAGTAATTTTTAAAAATTCCGAGAATTCAATGAAAATAGAACTTGCACCATTTTTTAGGGACACTTTGTTCTATTAGATAAAAAAAATTAACCCAAACATTAGGACACATTTTTGAGCAAAAAATGAAAATGTCCTGGACGCTTCACGTAAAATACCCCAAAAAATTAAAATATTTCTTTCAAATTCAAAGGGGCCACATCATCTTCTTCATTGCCATCATTTATTTTGGTAAACGAGCATACACTCATGGCAGATAATAAAAAAGTACAAAACTAAAAATTAAAAGAAAATATACATAAATTAATAAAAGATAAATACAAATAAACAATCAAAACTGAAATAAAATCACAAATAGGCAAGTATAAAAAATTGACCAAAAGATGGCAAATGAGATGAATAGATGGCAAATGAGTGAATGTTTCAGCACAGCTGCTATGTTGTTTGTTTGTTTTTGAGATGAAAGTATTTTCAAGAGATGGTTTTGGATGTAATTTTGAATGAAGGAAATGGCCTGCTGCAAGTGTGGATAAATGAGGAAAGCTTTTTTGGGAACTTGAATGGTTGCAAATACTTTGATATGTTGCTAACTTTGAGTCAATTGAATCACATCAAGTAATGCCCGTTGAAAGTTAATGCAATTTACAAAAATGTTTTTTTTTCCAAAACAGCCCCTACTTTCTTTCTCAGGTAGTGCAAATAACGCTTAAAACAATGCCAGAGGTCCCATTTTTCATGATCACACTGAATTTTCAAAAATTGCAAACAAAATATTAATATTGCAAAACTACAATATTTATGACAGACATTTTTTTCCATAATGAAAGCTGTTCTTTAAAACTTGATCTTGGAATAATGTAAATGAAGGGTCTGAATTTTTGAAAATTGCCAGTGTTAACGATCAAAGTTTATTGAGAGTTGGGAAGGTCGAGTTTAACCATGCAGTTGGTGGTGTAACGGTAACGTGGACTCTAAGAACCTAACAGGTTAATGCCGAGACTTAAATTCAAATTTCAGAGTGCAGAAAAAAAAGAGATGGAAATAATTTTTCCGGTACATGTAGTATTATAAATTTGTATCATAATTATCATTATCATTAATATAATAATGATAATAATAATTATTAATGTATTATTATTATTATTATTATTATTATTATTATTATTATTATTATTATTATTATTATTATTAATCAACTAAGATCCCATTTAGGGCAAGAGCCTCCTGCCTTTTTCAGGGAATGCTGAATGAAGTGATAGGGTGACGACGAGGAGTGAAAGGATTAAGATGATGCGGATATGCGTGTGGCAATGGTGTAATGGTTAGCGTATTGGACTGTTGTACCCAAATTGGCGAGTTCAAACCTGATCGAAACCGTGGATTTTTAAGGGCGAATAAAATCCTACATACCCTTCCTTCGGAGGGGAAGTAAAGCCAGCTGTCCTATGTTAGTAGATTTACTTGCATGTAAAAGACATTCAAGCCTAAATGACGTCTTTGAGCTAAATTCAAATCGCCTGTTTCTCGCCCAAGAAATACCTCCTTTCTCTGCTAATTGGTGAAACGAGCATAATCAAATTTGCATGGTCAGATGGAAGAGCAGGGCTCATGGCTTGAGTCCCACCATGTAAAATAAGGCATTAATTCAATTTGGTGATGGTGGGAGGTGGCTGATGGGATTGTAGGAGGTGATCATGGCATTTTTTAATTCATTCATTCATTAATGCATTCATTTTGTGACCAAGGAAAACCACAGGATGTGACCAAGGAAAAACATCAGGATGGTCGGCCTGGGGATCAAACCTAAATCTCTCAATTGCGAAGTCAGCATGCAACACATTGAGCCACTTTTCTCGGTAGTATTATAAAATTGTGTACAAATAATGAAATTACATATGTTGTGGCACCACTAGTTTATAGTTTTATATACCTGAAGTAACTCCTTTATTTCTTGTAACATAGCTTCCACATCATGATATGTATCTGATAATTTATTCATGGAATCAATTAAATTCTGGATTGCATTTGGTTTTACACTCAGTGCTGCACAGCGATCAATTAACTCCTGTAAAGAACAATAACAAAATTCTCTTAAAATTACAGAGCATAAGACACAGGACTTTGTGAACACTTTTTACCTCTATACTTACCTGTGGAAGCCTGGATGATTCACCATGAATATTTAAATGTTCTAACTGAAGTGAAGTCATAAAGCTTACTAGTTCTTCATCTTTCTCATCAATCTGGGCACCAACTCGTCGTAACAATTTCGCTTTCTCCTCACTAGAACAATTCCAGATTCATTCAAATAACATAGTTCACTTTTAAGATCATTAAGTGTGAAATATGATACAATAAATAGAACGCCTATTGAGGAATCAACATTAATGAAAAAGCAGTGATATTAAAACACAAAGATTCAAAAATTAACTGAAATTCAAAAATGCTAAATTATTACTTCTACAAAACTTTTCATTACTGAATTTGTTTAATAGTAGACATGAAAAAAAGGCTATTTGTCACAAAGAATTCTTTTCAGACTTTCAGACATTAGTATGAACTGATTTCAAATGAAAAAAACAAACACACACTATAAAAGAGGTCTATGAAGATGTGAACTTATTATGAAAATTACAAAATTTATTATGTTTTTCTATTATAAAATTACTTTGTTTGTGGGCCAATATTTACATTTAAAATAACAGTATTTACCAGAATAAAATTTCAGTATTTTACCAGATTTCTTTCTCTAAAAATCAGAGGTCATCTTATTTTGGTGCATTAGGAAAAAGGTATTAGTATAATTCAAGATCCTGCATGTTTCTGAAGAACTGAACACCAAAAAGTAATAGAAGATCTTCAAGGATCTTATTTTGTAGATTACATCATGACAAGCTAAACTCAAAGCAAATCTCTAAAATCAGCCTGGACAAACCATTTTTGAGATCTGGGCAAACAACGTTTTAAGAAATAAATTGTTAAGCAGGTTGTAGGCTTTGTCTTATGTCTGCCTGATTCTGATGTACATTTTCAAAAATTATTCACATTTATAAGGTTGAAGTGCTCTTCCTTATCTCTCAGCGAAATTCACTTTCTTTTGACCACTCATTTCTTAGTGGGGTTCGAGAGACAAAAAAGGAATACACCAATAACAAATTTTGATAACGATTAACAATTTAAAAAGTGGAACAAAAACAAAGAAAGAGAGAGAGAGAGAGAGAGAGTGAATCCGAATTGTTAAATTCATATAGAGAATAATATTGACATGAGCATTACATATTAATAATATGGATGAAGTTGTTTTTGTGTTTGTTTGGGATTCCCTACATTTAAAGGCAACAATAAATACATTATTACATCTACAAACATCTAATATTCAGGTAAGTCTTGGGAAACTAATTTCAAGTTAGTAAAACTAGGGTTGTCAACTGAATAGTTGAATAAAGCACTGCCTTTTACTTACATTGCAAAAACCGAAAGGATAACTAGATCACAAAAAAACATTGAAAGACTAGGTATGCAGTGGATTTGACAACTGCCAAACCCTTGAAGTGAGAAAGACAAACTTTAATTTAAATTCAGGCCAAAATCTTTGTTGAAAGGACTTTTATACAGAAAGTGTTCAAAATTATTGTTCTGATAATCTACAATATCCTTACCTGTACAGTGATGATGCCTCATGGGCTTTCATTGGAACTAGTCTTGCAAATATATCTGGGCCTGAAATTTCTGGATCATTTACATTGAAAGCTATCCCTTTCACAAGAGATGCTCCTTTGATATCAGTTAAAGCATCTCTCTCTGGAACCTCTTCATGGTAGATAAATTCATTCTCATTTTTGGCAGCTTTTTTCTTTCCTTCCACAACATCGGCAGTAAAGGTCAGTGCTTCACTGATCACCTATTGAACAGAAATATCAATCATACTTCTTACAACATTCCCATATCTACAAAACATTTTCATAAATAATTTCTTAGAACCGTTTCCATTGAGGCTGCGCAGGAAGGGTTGGGAAGTGAAATTTAACCAATTGTTTTTTTAAAGTATTTTTTATCATAAAAGTTCTTTAGAAAGTTTAAGTTCATGTTCAAGTACAAGTTCATTTTATGTAAATCACAAAGGTTGCAATCCGGAAGGCTGAAGTCTTACTGCAACTTGGTGTTCTGCAGGTGAAAAGAGTCAAATTGACTCTTTACTAATTTTCTGCATGTACATTATTAATATTGTAAAATATAGATCTGAAATCTAGATAAGTGTTTGATAAATTTGTGTTATATAGGGGTCATTAGAAAACTGAAAGTTCACTGCTCTCAGCAATAAATACGTTTCTGTTAACTCACAATCTTAAAAGCATTATTTACAAATAAAGATGTGTAACAAGAACACATGTCACTTGCATTGATGCAACAGGAACTAATTACAAAAGTTATGTTTAATCAGCACAATCAAATCAATCTACCAGCAGCAGCAAAACTACCACAGGGCACATTATTCTAAATCCTTGATTAAAAAAGACACAAAAAGGAAAGTTATAATATTGTTTACAAAACTTCCAAATTATATTAAAAAAGCAAATGAAAACACATTTACACACCTTTTAAAAAACTATCTAATTGAAATTTATCCATATAGTTTAAGTGAGATGTAACGTGTGATATTATTTTACTTAAATATAAAACAAAATGTATTTCACATACTGTAGTTGAATTATGTATTGTAATTGATGGGAATTTTATTTACTGATATTTTAACAGTATTTTTATGTTGATTTCTATTATGTTACTCTCATATTCATTGTTACTAGTATATAATTTCCTCTGTGTATTGTATATTTTAAAAACCTAATTTATTCTACCAAATTACTGTTGTGAAAATTACTATGAAAATTCAACTGTGTGTGTGTGTGTGTGTGTGTGTGTGTATATAATATATATATATATATATATATATATATATATATATAAAAAACATTACAACATAAACAGTTGGATGATATATATACGTATATATATGATATGTATGTATATTATTATTTTATTGCTTATTAAATTATTGTATTATTATATTTGCCTTATAAATATTTGGCAAATGGAACTAATTAATATATAATTACAAACAAATCCTAGGTCTACTCATAATTATTCAAAGTGTCCAATAATCATAAAATAAAGACTTTTTAAAATTGATACATTCATCCTGACTTTAAGATAATAAGTTTCAGTTATAATTTTTAAATCTTTTTTCCATACATTTATGTCTTTTTTGTGTACAAGAGGACCCACAAACAGTTTGGGAAGCAAAAAGGCACATCCAAAAGACACAAAAACGGAATAAATGAAGCTGGATATCTGAGGAAGTCATTAAAATGTCTTAAGAGAGAAGGAAAGCAAAGCAAGTGGGGTGTTGGGAGAAAGTATGTGTGCTTAACACAAGATTTCAATACAAAGCAAGGAAGGACACAGCAAAATTCATAAATGATAAGTGTAAGGAAGCTGAAACATATAACACAAAGTCTAGACCAAAAGAAATGTTCCAAATTATAAGGGATATCACAAAATAATTCAAACAGAGTATGAGCAGTTAAAAACAGCAATGGCATAATTCTAACTTCAAAGCAAGACCTAACTAAAAGACAGCAGGAATATACACAACAGCTGTAGAAAAGGGATTTGATTATTGACAAACATTTCATTACAGAGAGTTATGAAGAAGAACCAATGATACTAAAAGAAAAAGTCGAATGGGCCCTTAAACAAATAAAGAATGGTAAATCTTGTGGACCAGATGACATACCCATCCAAGTGATAAAATGTGCTGATGACGGAACTATAGGAAGGATATTAGGTCTTTGCAACCTGGTCAGGGATCATATAGCAAACATAAGATAAATAATGGCAGAGAAAAGAGAATTCCAAAAAAAACTGCAGAAGGAACAACTGAGTGGTTTAAAGTTAGCAAGGGAGTTAGACAAGGATGCATTTCCTCCCTTGGATTGTTCAATCTGAACACAGAAATGATCATGAGAACAACAAAATTGGATGAAATGAATATTGGGGGTAAGAATTGGAGGACACTGAACCAACAATATTTTATAAGCAGATGATACTTGCTACTGGCAGAGGAAGGAGAGGTTTAGAGAAACTTTTAGGAAGAGTGACAGAAGAAAGTTAGAAAACAAAGATTCAAGCTGAATTTAAAAATAACCATAGTAATGACAGCAGGACAGGGCGAGAAAATACAGATACATGATGAAAAAATTAAAACTGCAAACAAGGTAATTCATGTTATAATTTCTGGAAGTAATTATAACAAAAGATGAACAATGTACTAAAGAAATTAAAAGGAGAATTATTTTGGGAAAGGCAGCCATGAGAAAATGTAATAAATTCATTGAAGACTCAGGCTTATCAATTAAGACTAAAACTCAACTAACTAAAACAATGATTTTTCCAATAGTTTCATATGGCTCTGAAAGCTGGACTTTAAGGTCTCTTAGACAAAAGAAAGGTAGATGCATTTGAAATGTGTTGCTGGGGGAAAATACTGAAAACTCATTGGACTCACAGAAGAATAAACCTGTCTATATTGGAAGAAGTGAAACCGGGTTGCTCTTTAGAACTGTCAGACAGAAATTATCATTATCTCATCAAACTCACGAGTGTCTTCATAGATTTAGATAGCAGGACTTTCTATGAATGTTTATTTCAACAGTGAATTGAAATCTAGTCAAAAAAACTATTTTCACACATCAATTTTTTATTAGATATTGATTAATATATACACATCATGGAATCATGACACTTCAGCACTTCTGTTGTGTTCTGCCTTTTCTGACACCTTGTTAATTTCCATAGTTAGCAGGTTCCTGGGACAATAATTTGTCCCCCAACCTTTACATTATCCATTCATATGACATTCAAGTGCCTATTTAGGACCCCTCATCAGCTTTTAGACATAGCCCATAGACCCATGTTCGTCTTTCTTTCATGACTGAGGGGACCTCATGGTAAGCTAACCAATTTTGAAGAGAAGATCTCAGGCTGGAGAAGCAAATCCTTTTCAGAGCATCATGCACTATACAGGATAGGTCTCTTTCAGAATTGAGCTATAAACAAAGCCGAAACAATGGTATCTTCTGCCTCGAAACAGATCAGTTACCGAAAATTGGGATGTAGAGTATTGTTGCCATCGACCACAAGAAACCGGGTAAAAAACAAAAAAGCAATGACCGCACTGCAATAATAAATCAAGGTTATTCATATTCCATTACATTTCCTTCATTTAACACCAAAAGCAAAAGACACACACACAAGCACGCTCACGTCCTCCTCCACCCCACCCCCTCCCAAACCCATACAAAATTCAAAAGTAAAAAATCATGTAGACTTTTAACTTGGCCAATTTTAGTAAATATTGGGCAATTTTTTTATTGAACTTACATCAGCGTAATCCATTCCTTTAGCAAGTTTGCTAGCTTCTTCTAATTTCTCTGATGCTGCCTGGTAATAGGCAACACGTTCTCCCATTTTTTGTTGTTCTTCAGCCTGTTGGCCTTGATACAACAAAGCCACACATGAATGGTAAGCAGTCTTAAATTTAACATATCGTTTCCAAGTCTGAAACAAGATAATAAAATGGTTAAAATATTTCTATTCGTATTTATTATATTCTAATTGTTCAATGCTGATTATTCACAACTGATTATAACGCTTTTGGGTGCATACCTTGTAAATTTTTGACCCAACAGTCTCAGAAACAGAGCAATCATCTGAGCCACCTTGTTCCAAAGTATTTAATGCCAAGTTATAATAATCAACTATCTGAGCAGCCACTTTCGCTGTAAAATCATAAGAAGTTGTAAAAAGATCAGAGAGAGAATGCACCAGTGACTTACTGAGTACTTCAAATATCAAATAATATTTGTTAGTTATTGTCAGTTCAAGCATTCGAAAAATAATATATTTTCAAAATAGATAAAAGAAATAGAAGTCATTAAAAGCAAAATAATTAAAAGTATTGGTGGTTTGTATATGAAGGAAATAAGGGCACATCTAAATTTTACCAATTATAGTTGCCTTCCTGTTGTCCATCATACTCTTTTCTAAGATACACTCTTGTGCTTGGGCCAGAGACAAATGATACATAAATTGCATTACATCAGGAGCAAGGTCCACACCAGCAGGTTGAGGAAATGAATCCTTCAAATGCTGAAAAACAATTGAACACTCTTTTAAAAATACACCAAAGCATCTTTTTATAGTGAAAGACTTTCAGCAAGTATTTAATTTATTGTTTCCTACATCTTGTAATAATTCACTTATTTAACTTTTTATTAAGTTTACAATGCATTAAAATAATAATTTTGATGTTACATTCACAATTGTCATTCACACTTCTAAAATTAAAAAAGAAAAATATAATTACATCTATAACTATAATTTTTAATACTCGATTTTATCTACAGTAATATTTAACTTTTGAAATTGCAACAAGCTTCAAATTAAAACAAGTGCAGCCATTTATACTTAATCCTTTTTTGCCAAAATTATTAGAGGGTGTAGATAATTTTACACAAACAGTATTCTGTAATATTTAGTTTTAACTTTGGAAAATGTGTTAGGAAACCATTCCTAGATAAAAATTGAGAGTTCAGAATAACCAATAAACGTTTAATAAATGGAATATGAAAAAAGGCAACCAAGGCCACTCACTATGATGATTACTAGAACAGCCAATATATTCCATCCAGATATTTTAATAATTTGTGCAAGAGCTGATGAAATGCACCTATATTAGCATTCCATAAAAATAACTGTGGTTATATTCTCAACTTGATTGCATTTTAGTTCACTGTTAATGAGATTGTTGTGTGAAAGGTGAATTTAAACATTAATATTTAAATGAAAAAATATTTGATTGGAATGCAATTGTAAAAAAATATTTTAAGTAAATACATTACACACCACATAATTGAAGTATACAACCATACTATTTACAATAAGCAGACTAAACAATGGTTCAAGAATTGTCTCACAAATGCTCCCGTAAGACTGTTGCTTTTGGATCTAATACCACTATAATGATCACAAGAACAAAGCTTCATTAAATCATTCCATCATCTTCTTACACCACTTGACATAACATTGCAAGTAATGCAAAGCCTCAAAACAAGACATCTGCATGTACTAGTACAAAATGCTATGTCCTAGTTGATGTAAATGCCTCTAGGGTTTCTTAAAGCTAAACCCCTATATTGTCGGTAAGCATTTGCCAGTTTATATAAGAAATACTAACCTGGAAAGCCCAAGCAGCACACTGGAAATGAGTACATGACATTTTCATGCCATCTGATGTGGTACGTGAGTCTGAGGCTCCAAGTTGAGAATGAAGAGCACCAATATTATAAAGAATAGCAACCATTTCAAATCTGATGTCACTTAAAGTGCACACCATACTAGCATAAGTATCACGCCTAAGCACAGGACAGAAATTAACGAAATGATGTATATAAAAAATGATCTGGGTCTGAAATGGAACATTATCTTAAATACATTACCAAGTGAAAGACACAGCAGCAGCTCCATCTCTGTGCATTGGAAATCTACTTTGCAAAAAATGAAGTTGACAATAATAACGTTTTAGTGTTGAGCAACCCGTAACATCTCTGACCGCGCACACCGCAGATGCTCTTAGGCCTTCTAATGCATGGATTTCATTTGAATACATCTCTGGATCTTCATGATAAAAGTCTCGAATGTACTGTAAAAAACAAAGAAACCCTGATACATTGAACAAAAATAACATTCTTAAATGTCCAACATTATTATTACTAAATATTATCTTTTTACGAAGCCCTGTTGTGACACAGTGCCAAAATGCAAAACTTTAGATGCACAATTCCAAGTACCTGCTTCAACTTTTGTCCAAAAGTCGTTCGTTCTGGGCTTACTTTAAGATCAAAACTCAACATTGGTAAACGGGGAACTGCTTCCATTTTAACCGATATGTTTCAATATTCACAAAAATTTTAAATTAATAAAGCTTCCAGTCGTGTGATCGCCCCCTGCGTCACAATGTTATCAACGCAATGTCACTTAGCTTCTAGAATCTCTCGTAAGGTAGCGCAGTGGTCACGAGGCCCATGACGCCCCTGAAAATCCGGCGACAGAAATGCTGACGTGAGCGGAAGCTCAGCGGAGGGCTGTGCTACGACGTCCTACGTGGACAACAATTGAGCATCGTGTCTGTGCCAGCGGGTTGGGACCAAGTCGACTTGCCAACAGACGGCAGCAAGGCATTGATCAAGAAGTGCGATACAGTTGTGCCGATAGGTCCTATGAATTATAAGGGCTGAATTATTGTGTTCTAACATTCTTTGTGCATTTGTTTCTAAATTATTGTAATTTGGCATCGAAATAATGGTAAGTACTGAGTGTTACTTTTCCATCTAAAAAATATGTCAATATTGACCATTCCTATTTGTTTGCTTTTCGATTCCGTTAATGCTACTTTTCGCCGTTCTTAGCCTGCTTCTCCGAGTTCTACGTCCGTTGGAGCGGGAAGTCGTTCGCCTACTAAAGCTGTTGCTCCACGATCAGCAAGTGGGGGTTCAGTGAGACAAAGGTATCAACATTAAAAAAAATCATTTTCGCGACCCTAATTTATTATCCTTTCTATGAGTCGAAGGTCATGATCTCAAAATACTGATCCATATGTTTTGTAGGAAGACTACTAGCTCCTCTTCATCAGTAGCTAGAAATCGGGGAGCTGGTGCTGGTAGTGGTGGCATGTGGAGGTTTTACACCGATGACTCTCCTGGAATCAAAGTGTAGGTTTTGCGCATAATTTTTTTCACATTTTTCTCAACTTCCCGATCTAAATGCTTTTTCTGATTTCAGAGGACCAGTTCCTGTTCTGGTGATGTCTCTACTATTCATTGCATCAGTGTTCATGCTCCACATCTGGGGGAAATATACCCGTTCGTAAACTGAGGAAAAGGACCAGTGGCGTGCACCTTGCTGTCACTCTCTCCTCTCATGTAATCATTCCAGTGAGGGTTTGAAGACAGTGATTTTGCTGGAATACGGGAAAATAAAGATAATTCTTACATTTTATACATATTTATCATTAAAAGCTGCCGGGGGTCTGAAGCATAAAGACTTTTTATTTACATTTGATATTTATATCCCATGTTATGTTATTCAGAATAAAATAATTTTACATCGATAAAACTGTATGAAACGGTGAGCAGTATGCAATTCTCTTATTAATGGTCTCAACTTCTTATTCACAATATTTCGTTACATAAAAATGTTGAAAAAATGCTATAATCTTTAATTTATATTTATCCTACAACCACATCAAATTTTAAATGAACGCAAATTGGGAAATTAAATTAACATCATATAGGTTTAAGACTACTTTCTTTTCTTACTTTGTAAGAAGAAAGTATTGTAATTGTATGGCAGAAATTGGCAAATTTTCAAAAGAATCTCTTATTGTTGAGTTCTGGTAACAAAAAATTGAATAAATCCTGTTTCTGTATGTAGTAAATTTGTCATGTAATGTAGTCAGAATCCAAACTTAGTGGATCCTTGATACCGAAAACTCTACTGATGGGAATATTTTGATCTGTCATCAATGCTAGTGCCAAAACTGTTCTAATGGTTTTCTCCAAACTTTTTCTACATTTGAATGAAGTTGAGGCCTCGCAAGTGTTAATTGGACATGATTTTAGGGGTACTTAACATGAAGTCGTAATACCCTTTTCAAAAAATGGCTTCAAATTTTTTGATTAAAATTTGTCCACTGATGCATAAAGGATACTAGAAAATAGTGCAGGTTTCTTTTTATGTTGAAATTTCTGAATCTTAAGACAATTACACAAGTTGAAAATAATGCAAAAGCTTGAAGTATGTGCTGTTGGGGCACCACTAGCTTACAAGTTGAGCTTGAGACAGTTTAATGCATTATTACTTAGGGAATAAAATTGTTTGATGGTTCATAACATGCTTTTATTTAACATATAACTTGCCAATACTTTATATATTGGATAAAAATCCAAGATTTCCTAGGAAAGTATTTTTTGGTACCTCAATCTTTTAATATTACCTCTATGGAACTAAGTGGATGGTTAGCTCATTCACCTCTGGCTGAAAGAAGGGTCAGGGACTGGGCAGGCAAATGCTGGGTATGTGGCTCAGTAACGCTTTTTCTTAGCCTTGATGCTTTAGGAGAAGAAATACAAAAGGAAAATACACTAGTGATTTGCCACAATAAAATTGCCGTTGCACAAAACAACAACACACAATGGTTTTCCAAAAAGTAGCATGTTCAAGAACAACAAAGTATTCTTGTGCAACACTGCAATAAAATAGATATTTAAACAAAGACAGTCTTCATAAATTAGGTTGTAATCAGCTTCGAGAATGGATAAGTGAAATAACTCAATTAACTATATGCATTTTTCAGTTTTAATCAAAACTGTTTATTTTTTGGATTTTCCCTGAATTCCTGCGTATCTAATAAAACTACAGGCATTGCTTGTGTGGCCTGCACTGCATAGTTTTGTTATGTTTTCTTTTTGCGACAGATTTCAGAAACACCTACTTGCAAATATCTATAATTTATTACACTATTTTGATATACTAATACTTCGTGTTATAGCATTTTATCAGTATTTTCTAATTTATCTACTATTTCAGACACAATCACCTTTTTTCAGACCCACCATCCACTATATGTAAACATCTGAAAAAGAGAAAACCTACTCTTTTTCTCAGAACAAAATATATTGTCTGAGGTGAAAGGACTTAAAGATCTCAATTAACCTTTTGTAATAATTTTTACAATTTTATTCCAAAGTGACAAGTGAATATCAGAAGCACATGTCTCAAGTACACCACAAAACGAGACAAACTGCAAAACATTGTTACAAAATTGGTAAATGTAATAAAATAGAGGTAGCAGAAACCTTTGGCTTGCAGCATGATACAGCCATATATTGAGCTGGCCAAACATTCATAAAAGAGAAACATTTTCAGGTCTTTGGCTAGAAATGTCTTTCACTTAACTGGTGTGAAGTTCTGTTTGTGTAAAGGATACAGCTTTAGGCAGATTCAAGTTGACAGCGTTCATCCCATGATTTCACATCTTTTGGCTGAAAACTTTTTTAAGCCTAAGGTCTCTTTCAACAGTATTTTCACATTAATCAAAATGTGATTTTTTCACATTATTCAAAAGAAGAAAGGCATTTTTGGTGGCAAAGCAGCTATCTAGATGCACCCATTTACAACAATTCAGCTGCAATCAATTGGTCAAGTTCTGGCTACAGAGAAGAAGTGAATATCACAAATTCGTATAGGCAGTTTCAAGGGTTCTTATTGTCTTTACTAATTCATACTTCGGCAAGTTTGGGTTTTATGGACATAAAAACATCAAGAAATAGATTATCTCTTGAAAATTATCTGATTTCTTGTATTAGAAGATTTGAACCAGATATAACAAAAGAAGTTCAAACAAAATTGTATCAAGTAGTGTACTAACTGGCAGTTACAAAACAAACTAAAACATTTCTTACAAAATCCATGCGCATTTATTGTGTGTGTCCTAACAGATATGAACTCTTAATTCAAACACAACTGGTGTCAAAATTCACCAACTTTATTTCAAACAAAACCAATTTTAATGGTTTTTATAACAAAATAAAATGTTCCTTACATTTTATGTATTCTATTTATTTATGACTTAATAATAAATTATAATAATAACTTTAAATAAATATAACTTTAAAAAACCTAGGGAATTCCTGTAGGGGCATTACTCATTTACCCACTGGTTGAGAAACCCTGGCTTCCATTTTATTTTTTCTCAGGGAGCTTTATCCATCTTCTGTGCCAGTTACCCACTATGTTCCTCATGGGGACGCATATTAATCTTTACACTAGACACTGATACATTTGCAGACTCACTAGGCCGACAACACACACATGAAAGACAAGGGACAAACAACAACCCAGTGACTCAAACCTGTGACTCTTCTTACCGAGCAGCTAAATTGGCACATGCTCTAACGACCTTGGTCATCCAGGTTGGCAGAAACCTGAATGACCTGTCATAATTTTAATTCAAAACATATTTCAAACTATGAAGTCAGCATCGACCAATATTATAATATCATGTTTAGACATTAAAAGTAATTCATGAAAGTTAAAGAAAATTCATAGCACAAAATTAATCTTTTTAAAAATATTTATTTTATACTACGTATTTCTTTGTCTAAACATACCTGCAAATGTTTTTTACTGATAAAGAGTCGGGTATGATGGTTGGTTGGACGCTTATTTAATCTATATTTCCTCGAATATTCACTATCAAATATTCCGTTTTCCCCCCTTTGAAAAAGAAAGAAGGAAAATTTTATTTATGACACTCTGAACTGGAACTAGTGTTGCATATGAAATAGGGAGGAAAGCAAAATATTTTTTGTTTCTTTAATCCAATTTTTCCTTCATAGTAACCATGTGTAGGAAGGAATTAATTTTTATAAACTGGATGTATTGCACTTCTGCTTTATGGCTTAAGCTATTGGAGGGGGGGGGGGATTTTCTTAATAACTAACTTAATTTTAGCTTAATATACTTTTACAGTTAATGTGTATGCAATTTACATGCATAACTTGATTTTCCCCCTTAATACTTCTGGTAAATTCTTTCTCCTTGGTTAATTTTATTTTTTCATTCATGCATCATTCATACTTCGCTTATATACAAACCCATTTACTCTCACTGCAACCCACGGCAGTGACTTAAGTGTTCACAGTGGTCTGCCATTTCCAGGGGCACCCTAAGAAACCAGGGGCCTAGGGCAGTTGATCCGCGGAGGCCCCTCATTTCAAACAAAACTTTCTCTCCTCCGTCAATTTTATTTCTCCAAGCATCAGAAATAACTTGTAGAATTAAATTGGATTCGAGGTGAATACATTTTTTAAAATTTCTTTCGAATGAAAAAAAAATCGGGACCTGGGACAAGTTGCCTCTACCCCCCGGTCTGGTCTTTTTCTATTAAAGCACAAATGTTGGAGGAAAGGCTGACTCCCCCTAATCTAATCTTTTTATATTCCAAATGTAACAAGAATTACAAAGGTAAGCTATCCGAGGAGTCATTTCCCTAAGCTCCACCAACTTCGCAACCAAATCGGGGCGCTCACAACATTTGCGCCTTGCTGATCCAAGCACAGCTAATCAAGCTCGAGCTTCCAAGGCGCAGCGTAGTAGTAGGACTGCTATGCCTAGAGCAGTGAAAGTCATCTCTTCGAAGGATATTACGAAAATGTCTACGTTGGAGAAAGAGCAATCAGAAACGTCGTACAAGAATTTGGCAATTTTGCTGGGTAAGACCGCCCGACAGGTTGGTGAGACTACATATTGAAGGTATTTAGCAGCCTTAGAGCTGAAGCTACTGTGACTGCAAAATCATCATCGTCCCTATCTGATGGTCGGAGGTCCCATAGTTCAGTTAGACCTTTTACTCGTGCTGCTGTTATCGCGTCGCCTTCCAGGGTCATATGCATTTCGACGACTCCTATGATCCAAATTCCTCTGCTGATTTCCTCACCTGCATCGAAGGCCTAACCTTAAGACAGGAAGAAAGCCGGTGATCCCCTGCTCTGACACTTGCCCAAGGGGGGCGGAAACGTATCAAGAGTTAGAGAAAAGCAACCCTTGTACCGATTCCCTTCCAAAAAAACTTAAACTTGAAAATTTGGAAAACATGCCAGAATACACGCTATTGGATAGGAATATGGCCGTGTTAGCATTTTCTGATGATCTGGTGCTGCTAGCAAAATATATCCCAGGGGTTCAAGAATTGGTTGATACTGTGGTGGAATGTCTTGGGGCCCCTCGGAATGGCATTGTCATTTCAAATTACAACCTTAGAACGATCCTGATTTATTGAGGACCCCTGTCCGGAAAGGTTGGGGAAAATAATTCCTCTGGTCATATCTTAAGGAACCTGGGTGTGAACTACTCTATCTGGAATGTCCCATGTTAAGAATCAATATCGAATTTGATGGAAGCAGTGTCGAGGCTTCAGAAGGCGCATTTAAAGACCACTCAGAAGTTGGCATTACTTCATACCTACATAACACATTACCGCTACAAATTGATTTCATCGATGCCGTCTATGTTGATGCTCAGGGAAGCGGACGGTCAAATCAGAGTGGCAGATAAACAGTTCCTACATCTGCATACGAGTTCTGCAGGTAGCTTATTCTACCTGGCCAAGAGAGATGGAGGACTGGGATTGCTGCGACTCACCTAACACGTTCCTAGGGTAGCGCTGAACCTAGTTTTACGATTAGAAAAATTTGCGGTTGGCTAAGTTTCTACTAATTGACATTAAAGACAGTCAAAACACTAGGACTCAACTGGCCTTATACATAATAAGAATTAAGGGCTTATGAGAAGAAATGCGCCAATGACGAGGTAGGGGCCTGGGAGAAGCTGGGATCCCAAGGGATAACGGTTAAGGCGCATATGAACGATCCGATTGGAAATACCTTTTTGGAAGGTTATAATATTATGAAACCTGGTCTTATTACTACACTCCAATAGATATCAAATACCGCTGCCAATAAAATTACTCTTAGTAGAGGACGACCCAGAGAGGATGTATACTGCAGGAAGTGCAATACAGCGGTAGAAACCATGAATTAGTCCTAGATCAGTGCATTTTCAAGAAGCCAGCAAGAAGAAAGCGACATGTCGAAATCCAGAACTTCATAAAGGGGAAGATGCACAAGAAATCGGACATCGTGTTCATGAAAGCCACTTTCGAAAGGGATCCACGTGGTCGATGTGACTGTCCGCAACGAGGATGAGTCTAGCCTTCTAAAAGCAGGTGAAGAAAAGGTGGTAAAATACCAACCAGTCATTCCCCTGGCAGCACAACTTCTTGGAATGCCCAACGCCAGAATCCTGCCAGTGATAGCTGGAACTTCTGAGGCTATGCCGATGTCCACAGTCAGTGCCCACAAGAATTTGGGAATCACATCTCTAGGCGATCTACACTCTCGTTAATTGCTCTCAGAAGCTCTACACACAATTTAGCATTGCTGGTAGTAAATGCAAAAAAGGAACTTTCTGGTTCCGTGGGGAAGTCACTTTCCCAGGAAATATTTAGTTTCCATGACTAATTGGGAAGTTAATATTGGGATATTAAATGTAGCAAATAGAGTTGTGTACAGAATACCTGTGTTTTGGTTTGTGTGTTATGTGGATATTATGGGCTCCTAATGCCGAAAAATTGATTGATAGCAAAATATCTGTCCTTTCGTCTGTCTGTGGTCATCGCTAAACCGTTCAGACCATTGTCACCAAAATTGATATCCCCCAAACCATCTGAAGAAACTTAAGATCCCGAGAGTTTGGAATGGATATTTTTATTTTTTGGTGTACTTTACATGAAGCCCCAACATTTTCAAACTGTTCTCAAAAATGACTCGAATTTTGTAATGGAACTGTGTCTTCGAACTGCGAACACTTAACAAAACGGCGTAATCTGTTGCTTTAAAAATCGTGATTTTCGAAAATTGCAAAAGTTCAAAAATTTTCCGGTAAATTAGTACAACTAAAATATTGGAGATATTTTTCTCTCTAAATAAAATGATGTTCAAAAACAGATCCTAACGGTCTAGTTCAATTTTTCACATTACTCATAAAAATGTGAAGTTTTTATGAATTATGGCAACAATTATTTTCTCAAAAACTCCTATTAATTTTCTCCCAGTATGCAGTAATTAAAGGGCAGAAAAGAAAAAGGGGCTGACTAATTTTCACAACTGGCACAAATTGCAAAATTTACCTTCCATTCTGTACATTGGAAAATTATAGAAGTACAATATTGATGATAGTGACTTTTATCTTAAATTAAATCTGTTCTAAAATTTAAATCTTTAAATAAGGTAATGTTTAATTTTTTAACAAACTAGTAATTTCTGCCTTAAGATACTGCAATTTATACAAATTCCCGAAAACAGTTCCAAATTTTTTCTTAATTTATTTTCTAATAAAGGGCAGATTAAAAATTGCAAAGTCTCATTTGCATTGAACTTCCTGAATTTTCAAAAATACCAAATGTTCCAAACAATGCAAAAAAATACATGCTGTTGTAAGCCCCAGTAGTTTTACCAAAACTGTGGTGCATGAGCATGCAAAACCTTTTGAGCAGTTTCTCTTTTGATTCTTAATTACAACAGAAAGAGAAAGAAAAGTGCTCAAAAGGGTTCTGGGGGCTGAAAAGTGCAGGGTGCAACCAAATGTGGTTGAGCTTATCTTGAGACACCATTAAAGATTGTGGAAAATAATATAATTTTGGCACCATTCCCTCTGTAACCAGATGTTCAATCTATGCTTTAAATGAATGATTATTACGTGTTCTTTAAACAATGTTCCTGCACATGTTTTGATATCTTGTCCCATTTTTTTTTATCTACAGTGCAATGTTTGAAGATGTAAAGTAAAAAAAATTGCTCTGAAGGTACAAAAACAGTCATTACAAAAAAATTTGGAAAAGTGCTGCACAAGACAATTTCAGATTTTGATGCAATTTTGCACAGTCCCATAAGCCTCAAAGGAACTTCTGTGAAGCTGTAGATTATAGGTGAAATAATTTTTAAAATTTAGCGGATTATTTGACCCTGGGCAGCATTGTTGTACAGTACAACATTAGATTTTCACATATTTGGGTCCTTCCCAAATATTTGGCTGCTATTGCTAAACAAATGAAACTGAGCTACCTTGTATACCTTTTTTCGCTGTATTCAATAGAAGTAACATTAATCTATATATCTATGTATTTATACACAATGGGTATATTGCAGCAAAATACAATCTCTAACTTTCTTGGTTCAGCCCTGACATCACTTATTTAATGGTAGTAATGCAGATACAATTTACAAAATTTATCACAGAATGCAAAATCTACAAGTGCAAGTATGACAAAGTTTTAGAGGATCTAAACACGTCCCAGAGTAGTAGAAATAATAATAATATTAATGATAATAATCATCATCATCATCTGCAAGATTAAAGGTCAGTGGGCATATTCCTGGTTAAACAGTAAACCTAAAATATTTCAGTCTTCCAGGTGCTCCTGCATGATCCACATCTTTGTCTCCCTGTCCAAGTGTTATATATTTAAGAAAAGCCTTAGTGAAACTTTCTTCTTTTATTTTTTAATATGTTCCAGCATATTTTTATGCTTCTTTTTAATTTCCTTTTATGCTTGTCTTCAATCATTTCTTTAGGCCTTTATTTCTCTGTTGAACCAATCTACTATACAGCCAAGTTGTCTTTGGAATCTCATTTGATTCTAGGCTTTGCTTGTCTGTTCTACAATCCAGGTTTCTGACCCATATAACAGCATTTGCTCAGGGACATATTGTTTATTTTTAATTTGGTTTCCTGTGTCATGTACTTCCCAAAATGTCTTTTAATCATTCCATTTATTCTATTATGTTTCAAAATTTTGTGTTGCAGGTCTTGAGAATTTTGCCCCAAGTCACTGCCAAAATATTTAAATGTTGAAACTTATTATTTTTCCTTCAATCTTCACTCTACTTTCCTTTGAAGGCCATCGTTTTTGTTTTGTCTAGATTTTCATATAGGTCTATTCTATTTTGTTCAGTTGATGTGTTGCTATTTGGAGTTCATCTTCCTCCTCAACTCTAAGAGTTCCAAGACCCATTGGTCACACGTACACTGTATTTGGGTCTATGAACCTTAGCAGTGTGAAAGAGTGGGAGACTGATGCAAAAGCATCAGGGTGTCAAAGGGCAGAACTACAACTGAGGGCTGGAGACATCTACATCCTAACAGATGAAGACATTAACCTCAATTACGATCACATCAGTTGATGTGGAAATATCATTTTGTTTTGAAAATTGTGTTAGTCTAGCTACAATGGCTGATCATGGAAAATAATGCACAATTACACAGTACAGTGTACTCTTTTTATACGTTCAATACACAGGCTCTAATGATTGAACAAAATATCATAAAAATAACAAAATATTGACACGTAATCATTACACTGTTTTCACAAACACTTGAAAACTATTTCCACAGCAATTGATCATTAGTTGATTTCTTGTATGAAAAGGCATTGTTTAGTGGCACAAGAAATTTTCTCTTTACATCCTCTGGCGATGACCTGAGCTTCTTGAACATAAAACTTTTATTTCAGAAACAATTCATCTAGTAACCATACTAAGAGGTGGGAACGCTTGTTGTTTACTTAAGACTAATATTTTGTGGTGAAAAGAAATATATCCCTTGATTTTGCCTTCATTGATTAAATTAGCAAGAATGCACATGGTTTCACTGATGTCAATGTCATCTATCTTCATTAATTTCAAAGCCGTCATCAAAGCAGCAACAGGAATCCTAGACATTTTGAGAATGTCAAACCTGAAAGAGTGAAGTGAATGACGATTACTGGCAATTCACAGACAACAATCTGGAGCATGAATTTCTGAAAATAAACATGGCAATACTTACACTTTTTTGAAGAGATTTCTAATGCATACATATTTAAGTTTTTCCAAAATGAGAAAAATTCCAAATTTTATGAAAAACGCCTCATGATGCTGCATTACATTATTGAGTAATTCCAGGTTGCCCACCTTCACAGCTTCTGCTACTTCCCAGAACTGGAGTAGGTCATACTTCTCAAGCATACCTCGTTGAGGCATGTAACCCTAAACAAAAATGGGAATCATTACACTATTATAGTATGTTACTGCTAGCACTGGTGACTACCACGATATCACCAGAAATTGCCACGCTTTCATATAGTTTGTACAGTATGACTTTTTAGATTCGAAACTAAAAATACTTTTAAAACTTAAGAAATTTTCTGCAAAATGCATAAAGACAACGTACTGAAAAAATTGTCAGATGTTCAAATTTTATCTTCATTAATTAACTATAAAATTAAAATATGCTTCTTCCAATGCTTAGCATCATTGAATTGCATGTTTTATTGGACACTAATATAAGGTAAATTCCCAATGGGCCAGACTGCAAGCCAAAGTCTATTTGGCTTCCAATTAACCCTGATATTTCATAACTTATTTTTAGATTAATAAAAGAACCTGTTACAGACAATTTTCAAGGATAGTTCAATTTTTTGAAAATTACCATTAATGCTTCTTTAGAATATTTTTTTAAAAAAAATATAAGGAAATGTTGTTTATTTTTACTTATGAAATTCACAAAGCTTGTCATTTTGATAAAATAACGAAAAGAGATTCAAAACATGACTTTGGGTCTTCAATAAAACATTCATATTCAATGACGATAGACAAAATTCCAATTGTATTTCTTAGAATGCTCCTGAAAATCTCAAAAAAGGTATGAAATGTAATGGGAGTTTCTCAGAAACATTACTAAAGACAAAAATACTAGAAATCTCTTATAAATAGCTTATATTCACTGCTTTTTTTGCTTCCACAAACCCTTACACAAAATTATCAGAGATGGCACTAATTTAACACAGAAGAAATAAAAAACCAAATATCACACCTACAAATAAAATTCTGGCTTTTACATACTATTACACACTTTGCATGTTCAAGTATTCGTTCAAGAAAGCACTGTAAGTAAATTACATTAAATGCTCTATTTTACTCGTGACTTTTTAATTTAACCTCTGTAAAAGATACAGTCACGTGTTGTCCAACTTGCAAGACAATTTTGATGCTACAATGCCCTGATCAAGTATTTGCAGAGCTGCTTTGCATTCCTTTTCGTATTCAATAAATACTTACAAGAAGCATCTTCACTGGTATAAGGTAGATTAAAATCAGGCGTTTGTTTCTCACACTTTTTTTGTGACATCGTTCAAATGCAAATGTCAGGTACATATCAGCTGCAAAAAAACCAAAAGTACAGTAAATTAATAAAAATGTTCCTGACAAAGTTTTCAATTGAAGGGGATACAAACTATTGCACTTTTCTCAAGACAACTAAACAACAAAAACTTAGAAATGATTTCTTATTTTCTCCAATGAATTTCATTTTTGCCTTTCAATACTCAGAAAATTTTCGTCCCATATTACACTCAATTAGGTATTATCAGAATATGTGAATGGTTTGTTATCTTTGCAAAAGTGAGTTCTACCTTCTAACTATATGATCATGAAAACAGGTCACTCTCACAGAAACATGGTCATTCTAACATAAGGTCTGAAACGCAAAATGAAGTTTCACAGTTATAGAAACACTTTTATGAGTAGATACTAAATATCGTGTGTGCAACATGTACTAAATTGTGGAATACAGTACAAATATTTCTGTCTATTTGATAATAATTAATTACTCTAAATTTTTGTGCTGACAAATTCAAACCTGCATTAAAAATAATTTTTTAAACAAGTAGTTTTGTTTACGATTTTATAATGAATTCAAATACACTACTTAATATTTCCACTTTATTTTACGGTGGGAGTTCTAAGAGGTTATGAAGGAGACAAACAGATTTGTTTTAGCAAAATTTAAAAAAAGTTGAATCATAGTTTTTGAGTATTAGATTATGAATTGGGTTTGTGTTAGACTTCCTACAATGGTAATAGAAACTTGTATTCTTAAAACTCACCTGATTTGTAATCACTGGCAAACATATGTTTTCTGCCAACATAATATTTGTATGTTATTTGCTGACTTAAAGAAAACTGGTCTTTATACGGTGAAGATTCAATAGCACGAATAAGTGGTTTACATAAATGTAGTTTGTTGATTCGAAAATAAACTTTAAATAATTGATTTACAAGAGCAAGCATGCCCCATCTCTTTGTACTTTCCTCAGCAGAACGACTGGAAAAGATGTTATTCCAGTTATAATACATTAATAATTTCATTAAAAAAAAAAAAAAAAAAATTTGCAGGTGTGAATTGCTCACTCAAATTACAAAATAATTTATATGTATCAGGTATTTAATTTTAAACATCAATAGACAGCAACAATAAATAGTATGAGGTTGCATAGTATGAGGTAACAATGAATAGTATGACACAATATCAAAGATAACATTCCAACAAGTTCCCAGGAGAGGAAGTGGAAGCAAGGCATGGATGCACAGGATGCACTGACATGTTGAAGATGAGTGTCTGTACATGATGGTTGAGAGTAGAAGTAAGAGAGTGTAGGAAGACAGAAGGAAGATGAAGTAAGAAGTAAAAGTGAAAGATCAACACAGGCTGTAAAGCTAAGAAGAAGAAGAAGAATTACAAACAAGATGTATCTTACTTATCTGCCGCACACACTCTAAAGCAACTCATGAGAATATCAGCAGCCTTTTCCAAAGTTTCCAATGGGCGCCCTGATCCTCTTAGAGCAAGTAACTTATCTGCTTGTTGTGCTAGCAATCTCAAATCAATACATATTGCATACATCACTGGTAAAGCCCAATTTTGATCTCGCTGCATTTGAAATATTTTGACAAAGGCTTGCACTAATAACTGTTGACAATAGTATGCTTGAACGAAATCCTGGTTGTTCACATACCACACACATCTGCAAAGAGATACACATGTGACAATTATTCATTTGAGAGGTCACAAAAATCAATACATAGGAATTCTTCAAGTACGCATAATGTTTGCCCACATTTACTCTTTAATATGTAAGAAAAGGATGCAAATTAAGGCCTTTTCAGAACATATGTATGGTGATGAATACAAGGTGTCTTGATTTTGTTGTCAATTGTAAGGTAATGTTTCATCAATTTTTTCTAATCAACACTTTGTAATTAATACTGATTATTATTTGTCTTTTATGATGCTGCAAAAAAAATGCTTGTCCTAAAATGCAAAAACAAGCATTTTTTTGCAGCATCATAAAAGACAAATAATAATCAGTATTAATTACAAAGTGTTGATTAGAAAAAATTGATGAAACATTACCTTACAATTGACAACAAAATCAAGACACCTTGTATTCATCACCATACACAATGTTATACATTGTACAATGCAAATCAACACATGCTCACACAGGATTTTTCTCTGGTTGGGAGTGCAGGTATAGTGCCCAACCAACTTGAAGTATTCTTATATAACTTTTGTCATTTATTCTCAATATAGCATGGTGAATACAAAATATTTTTATTTGCTGACATTTAATATTTTAATGTAAACAACTGATATTATGAATGTTATGATAGTATTTTAATGTAAACAACTGATATATTGAATGACTTTTACTTGTATAATCTATACTTCTTAATATGCATCACTGAATTCAAAGCGAGGGATTGAAGCCCCATGCCCCCCTTCATCTTCAGTGTGCCACTGCCAATCGACAATTAATAACATAAATACTTAAAAAAAGGGAGGGGCATTACAAAACAATTACTAAGGACCTGCACATTTTTTCAGTTGCAATTAATGAACTAATTTTGTAATGTAAAGTAAAATTCAAAAACATCGAATTCAACAGAGTTGAAAGGTTTTGATATTATTCCCATTTCCTGACGAAGTCAGATTTGTTTTATTATAATTTTGCAAGAACTTGTATCCCCACTCAATCTTGACACGTGATGATCTGATTAATACTATTGTACACAAATTAAAAATATCCCACAACAAATATTAGACCTTGCATCCATGAAAGAAAATGCATCTAACCAATCACCAGTGGGAGATTGGAAATCTGGACTTAAATATTATATTTTATTTTTCTCAGTAAAAAGAAGATCTAATACTTCAGATGTGCAGCAACAATTTCATCCATTGGAGGTTCCAGCACTCTCTCTACACTGCTTTCTGGATTTTCCATTTGCAGTTTGCTACTCGCCACATGGGCATGTCGAAAGGAAACAAAGTCCTATAAACAATAACATTAATTATTTACAAATTATTAGATAGGTAATATAATTAAGTACTGTCAAAAATTCCGTAATTTACCGCCAAGGAAATTCCATCCCTGCTTCTCCAAGCATTGTCGATCTGAAAACAAATGTCAGTGAGAAAAAGTACTTAAAATATTCTGTATACAAAAGTTCAAAATATACAAACATTACAGGTACCTGCTGCAAATATTGATTTAATGTTAAATGGGCCATTAGCGGGACGCGAAACGCATTTAACAGGACAAAAAATACTCGTCACGTTTTCGTTTCACTCTTTCTCTCGCTTGACCCTTTAGAAATAACAATTCAAACAAATTCAAGTAATATACACTTAACCTCAACCACTTCAATTTGTTTTCAACTTTTCAACTTCCTCCATGCCACGGAAGAGTTTCACCACTACTCTCTAGAGCGCACCACATTCACTGTAAATTGAATCGTTTCCTGCCGCCGCAGTTCCTATTACATGATTCAAACATGCGCAAGAAAACAAGTGATTACAACAGCAGGTATTTTAACGCAGTATTTATAATGGTTACGTAATATTATAATGTAATACTACACGAACCCCTAGCACGGTATATCTTACATCATGACCCACAGGAATGTTTCTAACTCGGTAAAATATAGGGTCTCATTGTAACGAGTCGACTCCCATTTCGGGATTCGGTGAACGAAAGCGAAGAACAAGTGGAAGGGAGGTCTTTCTGTCTGCTAGTTCAAACTCATTTACGTTTCGTTTCAAGACAATCGAGAAATTAAGATAATTTGCATCGCCTTTGATGTATAAGAGACGAAAAGTAATTTATTCCTGAAGTGACATAAACAATTGTTTTGTCCTTGTTACTGTCTCTAACAATTTACGTTTATTAGCTGGGTATCACACCATTTATTGCATCTGTCATAGATTTTGAAAACCGCTGTTATTTTTTACAGTTTTCACTTTTGTGTTGTCCTATCCCTCAGTGCCAAATGATTTTCTGTTACTTTGAATGGAATTTTCAGGTAACTTTGATTAAATGTCAGATTTTTTCAATACATTACATTTGTTTTCTCCTTCAATTTGTCGCGTCTTCAATTTACGCAACGCGTCTCCAAGCCCCTTGGGGAGCCGTTGAGCCCTTTGCGCTTTCGGAGTGATCCTCGATTAATATCGGCGCCGGAATAATCCTATTTTAATATTTCAATATATCATATCCGTCACGTCTCGTCGCAGTCAGTTGTCAAGAGGACCGCCAGGTAGCACCGTCTCATGCGCGTCTTCTATTATGTACTCCTGCGTCACTACCCAGCGGCCAGAATTAGGAAGCAATTAGGATTGGGGTAGGGTTTAGAACACTTCACAGGGGTTGGACTAGCCCTTGTGAAGCATCAAAACTGGTTTTGTTCGAACAAATTTCACATGAGATGGACCGGGATTAGACGGGCCTCCTCGGTGAAAGGCGAGCGACTTCGCTCTGAGAGATCAGAATACCTACACATGAGAACCATCAATAATGAAACAACTGACAAGAAAAATGATTTCTAATTAACATCAAACCAACCTCAAAAGATGAGGAGTATCTGAAAAAACATTCATTTTGAATTATTTTGAACTGGATGATAAAAGCGATAACGTTCTGGCACGGTGTTCCAGATTATCCCACAGTTTACGTTCTTTGATGCCATGCCACTGGTAGTAGAAACAACTCACGAAATAAAATCCCTGAAACAAGTGTATACCCTGCAGAATACAGTTTGGTCACAAATTCGAATAGAAATTAAGGTTATTCTATTTGAAGTTGAGACAATCAAATTTAACTGGAGGTGATTAAACAACAGCACATACTTTCTCGCGTTATTTGCAACTGCTTTCATTATTTCCAACACATCACAGACAAGCAAGGATAATTTCATCTACTAATTGAACATCCAGAACTAGAGGCTATCCAATATTTTGCATTATGAATTCATATGCAACTACGATATTTCTTTGTGCGTATGTGTATATACATTCTTCCCGACTTTAATAAAGTTGAATATACAATTTAAATGAACGTAGAGAAATTGTAATATTAACGTTAAGTAAATAAAGACGCTTTATCGTATCTCTCCCATCGTGTTGCCAGTGTCAACAATGAACTTCTCAAATATCCAACGCTGCATTGTTTAGCAATAATGCCCTATACGATAGTAATATCAAATTATCGTAATAAAAGTTATGGTACTATTTTTTCCAATTTTTCTTTCATATTACATTTAAATCGTATTTTTTCGTGAGAAAACTTAATTGGGCTAATTTCAATTAAGATTTGAGGATTTCTCAAAAGAAAATACATCAATACAATGAGGGTACAAATTGTAGAATATAGTAAAAATCAAATTAATATTGGGATTTTCAATAGTCAATTATAGTTAAAATCAAATTAATTATTTTCATACATTGTCTCAAATTTGCTTCATAATCAGCAGTGGCGGCTCTTGAACAAATATTCAGGGTAGGTAAAACAGATTACTGAAGAGTGGTGGATTCCGGGCAGGAGGCATGCACCGCCTCAAACCATTTTTTTGTTGTTGGTAATTTTCTGATATTACATTCGAAAGCATAATTTCCATAAAGCACGCTCAACCGTGATTTCCATATATTCAGATTCTAAAATTCGCGACTTTTTTTGCTCTGACAATAATTCAGAAGTCGTATACAATTTTTTCCGGGCGCTTAAGTTTCACTGAATTACATATGTGCTCTTTTGACATCTCATGTTCTTGTATAGTTTTTGATAAATGCGTCATGTCAAAATATCCGTATTTCTTCCCAATACTTTCGTTAATTGACAAATAAAGATATGGCCAACAATAAAACTTAGTTTTAACTTTACTACCTGTTATTATTTTGTGTGAATAAATCACGAAGGATTGATTGTATTTTCGCCAGCACGATGTACAACCGTACTTACCATAGGAGTAGATCGACCAGTGTCTTCTTTCTACGTCGTTAATATAACAATGTTTACAATAGTTATATCTGCACATAAATTAACAGCACTGTATCTGTCATATAATTAACGTAAAATCATATTTAAGTATAGAAATCAAATTATACGAATGATCCACAGCATACTAATTTAAAAAGTAATTGAAAAATAAATACTACCGAAATAATAATCACTTTCTCCGCCTAATAACTTGTCAACAAAACAGTAAACACGGCTTACACGAGGTGAAAATTGGTTCGACATTCAACTCCTTCACATTTTGGCTATCTAATATACAATATAGAAGAAGAATTGGTAGTGTACTCATTCCCTTCGAACATAGTTTTTTCGACATATTTAAAAAATTGCGCAGCGCAATGCCGACACCTACATGCCACCATACGTGCGTTTCCGTGTTCCTCATAACACTGGCTAACTTCTCAAAAAGTTTTAGCTTTGAGCGTGGATTTTATTGCTGGCTTCCGGTCTATCTCTGGGTCGGTCCCCAATTTATATACGGGTTAAACTCTTTACTTTCCTTCTGGTCCCCAATTTACATTCGCCGCCCTTGTCAGATGTGGGCGGCCCACGCACGGCCGGTGCTTCAACTTGTCTTCGGATAACGACGAACGGGAAAAGAACTTCAAATAATACCGAGCGGAAGACAGGGTGTTAAACGAACATTTACTGACCGCCATAGTCAATGATAGCACCTGAAACGTTCAGACGATTTTCTTCGAGGTTTAAAAGAAATCAGGCTTTGCAAGTTTGAAAGAAAACTTAACTTTTTCGGTGTACTTTACACGAAGCTTCAATACTTTCAATTCTTTTTCAAAAATGGTTTCAAATTTTGTGTTTTAACTTTATCCTCAAATAGCGTAAAGGACGCTTAAGAGACTGGTAGGTCTAATTTCCGTTAAGATCCATGAATTTTTCGAAAATTATTTATTTGTATAATTTTTCGCTATCAAGAACTCACAGAATATGGATTCTGACTCAATGTGTTATAGGAAGTACGAGTAATTTCCTACATAGGGAAGCAAGATTTATACACTTTTCGTTATCAAGGCCCGGCAATAAGAGTTTTTCTGTGGGAATATTCCCATTTTCCGGCGCAGGATACTTTCTCTTCTTACGAAGTAAGACGAGGATGTAAACTAGTTAAGCTACAACAGCACACACTATCTGGCTTTATTTCTAAACTTGCAATTTTTAAAAAATCAGAGAGTTGGAAATGAGACTTGCGCCATTGTTTTAATCGACCTTTTTAAAAGAGTTAATATTTTAGACCATACTTTGTGCAAGGCAAAATGTCTGTCTCAATTTTGTAGTTTTGACATGTTAAATATGTGCATACTTTCGAAAATACTGAGTTCGCCGGAAATGAGACTTGCTCTATATTTTTTGCTGTCTTTTGACAGATATGAAGAGAAAATTTTGAGAACAAAATTTGAACTGAAAAAATAATTGTTTTAAAAAAATCCTTAAATTTAAATATTTTACGCAAAATAACGGGAAAACTACTGTTATTTTCGAAAAAATTGTACAAGAGTTTATTTCAAGATCTGTCTTTGAAGAATACATTCCAAAAAGGAAAAAAAAGCCTTTAAAAATTAAAAAAAATTACAGCCATTTTGAGAACATTTTGAAAATGTTGAGGCTTTACTTAAAGGACCTTCTCCGCAAAATCAAAAATATCCATTTCAAACTCAGAGGACTTGAGTTTATTTAAAATGATTGAGACTTATCAATTTTGGAGAAAATCGGCTGTACGGTTTTGGCGCTAGCATTTGATCACAGATGGACGGTCAGGCAGACGGAGAGATGGGCAGTCGGACAGACGGACGGTCAAGAGTGGCGGCTGGTGCCCCAACAGACAAAATTCAAAATACGAATTTATAATAAAAATGTAAGCAATTCAAATTAATTGAAACTAAGTTTTATTTCACTTTTATTTGTCTATATTGAAACACTTAAGTTCGACTCCAGCACATTGCAACAAGCACTACTGCTTCGACATGTTTCACACAAAATTCTTTTATTTTGAAAACTTCACTACCGTGGTATATTTTGCAATAATGGAAGATCTTCTACACACATTCGTATTCACGTGAACGCTCGTAAACACCTGGTCAGCTGCTGGCAGACTGGCTTCCGCGAGACACAAAGGAACTTTCATCCAGAACGGCCAACGTTACACTAAGAAATCATCAAGTATAATTTTGAATCAATAAATCTAATATAAAATGAAAACAAATTCTCTAAACATCATAAATAATGCATTAAATGCCGTCAAAAAATTGACTAAACTTGTGTGCTTGCAATAACAAGCGAAATTCCTAAAATTACGTTACGGCGGGTAAGACGAAGACAGAATGTTGATATTTCCCTGAGATTCCTCCCAGCGCACAGCGCTACAGCGTCACCATATGGTTGCTCCACCAAACGCTTCATGCCCCTCGTGTTAAATCGAAGGGCCAACGAGTAAATGCCGTAAACCCAGTAATACAGCGAAGAGCCAAGAGCGTAGTGCAATACCTGGCAAGGCATGAGCTTTTAGCGGTACCGGAGAGCCAGTTGAACGCTCTTTGGTTTCAAAATGATTTCATATACATCGACATTGATGCAATATCTTGAATATTGAATGTCATTAAAAGGAAAAATGTATACAAATTACTAAGAGGTATTATGAGGTCTTTTTC